GTGCTATTTTATTATTTTGTTTTTATAGCATTCAATTAACGCGCCGATAAGGTTTCTTTAAAATTAAACCTACTTATAGCAGCATCAAAAACTCATCTCAGTATTATATTCGCGATTTTCGCGGCCCGTTGACAAAATTAAATCTGCTTTTACGAAGCGGGAGCAACATTATTTTTGACTAGAGGCCCGCTCCGGCCACGCTCGGGTCTTTAAGAAAAATGTCAACGATTTTTAACCTTGTTTTATTTTTTTAAATAAAAGAACTTTTAAGTTTTGAAAGAAGAAGAAATTTTAAATTTTGAAGTCGTCGTGACCTAAAGGATGAGACGTCCGGTGCATTCGTATGTAGCGATGCACCGGTGTTCCAATCCTGCAGGCGGGTACCAATTTTTGTAATGAAATACGTACTCAACAAATGTTCACGATTGGCTTTCACGGTGAAGGAATAACATCGTGTAATAAAAACCAAACCCGCAAAATTATAATTTGCGTAATCACTGGTGGTAGGACCTCTTGTGAGTCCGCACGGGTAGGTACCACCGCCCCGCCTATTTCTGCCGTGAAGCAGTAATGCGTTTCGATTTGAAGGGTGGGGCAGCCGTTGTAATTATACTGAGACCTTAGAACTTATATCTCAAGGTGGGTGGCGCATTTACGTTGTAGATGTCTATGGGCTCCAGTAACCACTTAACACCAGGTGAGCTGTGAGCTCGTCCATCCATGTAAGCAAAAAAACAAAAACAAAAAACATATTTCGGCATAGCTAGAGATATGCTGTCGCGACACTTTTTGTACATAATAATTCGTAGTAAATTATTTGATTCTATAATGAATAGTTTTCGCAGGGCACGCGATGTAAATAATATTTTAGGTAATTTTTTTACACCTTGGGTTACATTATTGGAGTTTTAGTAAGGATCCCTATTTTTTTTAAAAAAAGATTATAGCCTATGTCACTAGTGAATAGTGTAGCTTTCAAACAGTGAAAGAGTTTTTCCAATCGTTTCAGTAGTTTCGGAGCCTATTCAATACAAACAAACAAACAAATCTTTCCTCTTTATAATATTAAGTATAGATGACAACAAAAATAAAACCAAACCGTAAAAGTAGTTAGAAAAAATGCTAGATGATTAACATCGCGGCATTTATTTAGCTGGTTAAATAAAAAATAATATCCGTTATAGGGAAGCCATGTTGAGATTCGAGTTTCTGGTTTCACACGGATTAAGCTTGCCAATTAAAATCAGAGGAAAAATCATGGTTAGTGGTTGGATACGCTTCGATTTGTGATTGAACGTAACGATTGTATTCAATTGGTACTTAGTCTAATCGCCTAAACAGACTTAACGCCTCACCAACTGATTCACAATGCATGCAATGCAATAAAAAAGTCTTAAACATTGTAATAGAACACGTTTTTAACACGAACTAGTGGTCCCGCAGTAGTCGAAATTCGACTATAATTAATTGGAATTGTAAGTTTGTACACTATTATGATTGTGTTTTATACTTCTATAATCACAAATTTCGCCAAGACTACACTATAAAAAATATTAACGAAGACAAACAATATTTAATCTCAATTTGATAACAGAAATCAAGAACAAAAATTTTGACAATATATAGTATACATGCGGGTGTGCATCAACTACATGGTATGTAGTGTGTGTAATGTTTTGTTTATTGATTTAATGTATCTTTTATGCATTATTTAAAAAAAATATTAGCATTGTGCACTTCTTCTCTATATTCTCTATAAGTGTGGAAAATTTCATACTCCTCCGTCCGCGCAATTTTCGTAAAAAGGGATACAAAGTTTTTGTTTCACGTATTAATATCACACATCACAATCACAAGATCACAAGGCAAGATCTTCGTTATTATTTGTACCATTTCCGTTGTATTAATCATGAGATATATTCTCATGAGCTGTATTAGATGTCAAATCTGGCCAAACGCTTAAAATCGATTAGAAAGCTTCTCCCGAATTTCGCCCAAAGCGATCTGAAGCAAATTTGGCAATAAATAAAAATGTATTTTTTTGAAGTGAAACTTCTTTAGGGTTGAGGGTAACATTTTTGCAGAACGTCACGCAGGTATGCAACGGAAGTGACATCAAACTACTATTGAAATTAAGTACTTGTCAAATGTCAGTAGTAGTAGTAATTGTTGTATTTTTCCAACTGGAAAGGCAAATGTATCATACCATACAGCCTAATATTTTATATTTTTTTTGTGAAAAATGTTAATAGGAATTGAAATGAAATGAAAAGAATTTGGAACATTAATCAAATAGCGTGAAATTAAATTAGTCAATTCAATTGGCAAAATATTAGTCATTTACAATTTAGAAATCTAAACATAATGTGACTGTCAACACTGAGGTTTGAGATTGACATTTGACAGACTTTTGGCGGGAACATATCTTCCTTTTTCCCTTCCTCTAAGTCTCGGAAATGTAAAGTTTTAGATTTGTATAAATATAAGCAAGACTTATAAATTAGTTCGCCAAAAAAGTTTCACTTCTGACATGTGTACTTTGTACGCACGCACTTTTTTTTGTTTCTTAATGCTATCTTGTAAGCTAGGGTTACTAGATTTGCTGATTCAGAGATTGCGACCTGAAATTGTATTCACATTAATAGATCTATAAGCTCATATAAACACAGAAGAGACGTGCAAACAACTTGTACATTAGCAACATGGTTTGCTTCACTCTCTGCAATTTCCCGTGAGATATTCCTGCAAATGTCATTGCTTGCCACGGCATTTAGTTTTGTGCACGAGAGCTGAATTAAAAAAAAAATCGCATCCGAAAAAAGACCAAATAAATATGTACAACAATTTAGAACCATTCAGACAAGTTTTGAGATGACTACTTATGTCCGTGACCGACCATTCAATATGCAACAAAAAAAGACGTGTGGCACTCGGGGACTGCCGCGGTAAAGCTATAGCAAAGCATTTTTTATCAACTTATGCAATTACAATTAGACAATAATAATTTAATTTTAAAACAATAATAAAAATAATAGACTACGCTATATTTGAGTCGTCTATTATCAAAGGCGGCAATCTGTACATTTGGACAAAAATTTTTTATTGATATGTCAATACAGATTTATTTGAATATAATCGTCTCCTTCAAAGAATACGGTTCAAAACCTGCATTAAATAAAGGTTAATAGTTAACCTGTTATTTATCTAAGATGTCGTTCNGTTTAAACAAAAGGATTTTATTATCATAGACATGAATACAAAAAAGTTAAATTAGATAAAGTTTAAACAAAAGGATTTTATTATCATAGACATGAATACAAAACAGATGGCGCGTAACGGAAAAAAGTGACGCGTAACCGAAAAATGTGACGGTAAATTTTTTTCCAACGCCGATAAGGAAGTTTCACTTCAAAAATCGCATCCGAAAAAAGACCAAATAAATATGTACAACAATTTAGAACCATTCAGACAAGCTTTGAGATGACTACTTATGTCGGTGACCGACCATTCAATATGCAACAAAAAAAGACGTGTGGCACTCGGGGACTGCCGCGGTAAAGCTATTGCAAAGCATTTTTTATCAACTTATGCAATTACAATTAGACAATAATAATTTAATTTTAAAACAATAATAAAAATAATAGACTACGCTATATTTATAAACATTACCAAAAGCAAAACATTAACTGTCCCCTTCACACTCATAAGCTAGACCGCGTGAGAGAGAGATGGGCAGACTTTTCATGATGCTTATGCAGTGCGACGTCACGCCACTTATTCACAAACACTACACCAGCGCAACGTGTGAATATGTTGAACGCGAGCTACATGGTAGGCGTAGTGGGGGTGTCAGGTTATTTTCGTTACGGAATTTCTTGATTCAGTCGCCGCGCTCAAGGCCCGTGATAGAAGCTATGCAATAGCTTAAAAATAATCCATTTGCTGCTATCGGGGACTTAAGTCATCCGCCACAAAATGCCCCCTGTGTGTTTGCTTACATTTGTCGCTAGGGGCGCTGTTCCAACTGCATACAAATTTGAGTTAACTTTTACGCTATCGAGAACGTTAAAAAACTCGCACTAAGCATACTATTTGATAGGTGACTATAGTCACCGGTTGAAAAACGTCAGCTATACACCATATTCTTACACGGTAGGCAGCGGCTTGGCTCTGCCCCTGGCATTGCTGTAGTCCATGGGCGACGGTAACCACTCACCATCAGGTGGGCCGTATGCTCGTCTGCCTACAAGGGCAATAAAAAAAAATACGCTGCGGAGACGCGGACTTTGCGGCAGGTCGAGAAAAGCGGCAGATGTGGTGCTGGAGACGAACGCTTGGTATTTCATGGATCTATTCTATTGCATAGGTTTAAGAAAACTATTAAAGAACATCTGTGCAATAAAGCTTACTATAAAGTCAATGATTATCTAGAAGATTGTACAAAGTTAGAATGAGTTGCTCGCTCCGGGCATTTCAATATTGCAATAATTATTGTTACGTTATAAAAAAAAATCTTGGAGGTAGGACCTCTTGGGAGTCCGCGCGGGTAGGTACCACCACCCTGCCTATTTCTGCCGTAAAGCAGTAATAACAGTACAGTAAAGTAAATGCGTTTCGGTTTGAAGGGTGTGGCAGCCGTTGTAACTATACTTGAGACCTTACGACCTTATATCTCAAGGTGGGTGGTGCATTTACGTTGTAGATGTCTATGGGCTCCAGTAACCACTTAACACCAGGTGGGCTGTGAGCTCGTCCACCCCTCTAAACAATAAATAAATAAAAACAGTAGAGAAACAATGATAGTTTGGTTTTTAATCAAACAGGTGTTCGTAATTGTTTCCTTATTAGATCGCCCGAAAGACGAAAACTGCAGAATATCTCCAAAGTCACGTCTATATGCTATTTAGATATGAACCATGCGGATTTTCAGGGAAACTGCTTGGTGTCAAAGCTGATGAAGTTCAGAGTCAACTCATTCTGAAGTCACTCAGTGAAACAACATGGCCGCTAAACTCATTCTTTTCGTCTGCGCCATCGCCCTCGTAGCCCAGGTAAGTCTTTTAATTTTTAAATTGAATTAAATGGACTTATAAAGTCATCGTGGCCTGAAGGATAAGACGTCCCGTGCATTCGTATATAGCGATGCAGCGATGTTCGAGTCCCGCAGGCGGGTACCAATTTTTCTAATGAAATACGTACTTACCAATTGTTCACGATTGACTTCCACGGTGAAGGAATAACATCGTGTAATAAAAATCAAACCCGCAAAATTATAATTTGCGTAATTACTGGTGGTAGGACCTCTTGTGAGTCCGCACGGGTAGGTACCACCGCCCCGCCTATTTCTGCCGTGAAGCAGTAATGCGTTTCGGTTTGAAGGGTGGGGCAGCCGTTGTAATTATACTGAGACCTTAGAACTTATATCTCAAGGTGGGTGGCGCATTTACGTTGTAGATGTCTATGGGCTTCAGTAACCACTTAGCACCAGGCGGGCTGTGAGCTCCTCCACCCATCTAAACAATAAATAAAAAAAACTCCTTGTAAAAACGAATATTTAATAAAAATCTAATATTAAAAAAAATTCTAATAATTAAAAAAAAAGGCATGCCCGCTGAGTTTCTTGCCAGTTCTTCTCAGGACGGAGGCTAGTTTTTGTGAATTGGCGGTAGTTCTTTTTGACGTTCAACAAGTATGTACTTTCATATATGTTGAATAAAATAAAATTTATTTGCTTGATTTGATTTGGTCGAGCTTCGCACCAATATCTCCATTCTTCAAGAACTCGGCATTAAGCAGCGTCTTTGGGCACTCGTGCATGGGCGCATACTATCATTTTCGGACATGTCTCCCGACTAGGAAATTACTCCATAGAGCGCCTTGTCGCTCAGGGCAAAATAGAAGGCACTAGACCGCGCGTAAGGTTGCCGACCAAGTCAAGTCGGCAGCTGGCAGTTGTTTGCATGAGTGTACCAGACTACTTTGACAGAATACTTTGGTCATATAGCAAGAAAACCCTCTGACAACCTGGAGAGACTCATAGTGACGGGTAAAGTGGATGGAAGACGATCCAGAGGTCGTATCCGAAAAAGATGGAGTGACCAAGTGTCTTAGTGTCTGGACATGAGACTGAACCACGCACTTCACTGTGCCACAGACCGACATAAGTGGCTACAAATTACAAAAAAAAGGTCACAGGCGGGCGCATCACGATGCTCAGCAATGAGCGATCGACTGAAGGAGGAGGAGGACCAGACTCACCACAAACCGGGATTGGTGATTGTTCGTGAGGCGCATAACATCTGCCCAAAGCGATGATACTGAATGACAATCACGACCGCTCTGACAAGAGTGATACGACAAAGGATACGCCATAGGTGGCTATAGTCACTGGCTGAAAAATTCCGGCTATGCACAATGGGTGATATGCGCAATTTGAGCGCGGAGCTTTTCTCGTCTTAGAACAGCGATCTTACGTTTGCCGCTAGGGGCGCTGTTCTATTCGGCGCGCACTGTGCGGTACCGTGGGTTTCGTGGAGTCGGAGTGGTGGGGCTCGATGGGGTTTAGTCGGTAGTCGTTCTGCGGGGCAAGTGCTTCGCGCGCCTTTTTCAAGGCGTAGTCTCCTGTGAGAAATTGGGGGAGGTGAAGGACCTCGGCCCTTCTCTTCTCCCCTTCTTCCTCTCAGGAGGCGCCGGAGTCCGACATAACCCGGTCCGTTACCCCCCTCGACCGGGTATCCGTAAATGGATTCCCCAGCGTTAAAAAAAAAAAAAAGGGGCGCTGTTCTAACTCCATACAAATTTAAGTTCACTTTCACGCTATCGAGAACGTTAAACGTTAAACGCTATAGTTAAGTCTTTGTTTCTTTTTAAAAATTATCGGATTTTGTAATGAATTAATAATAAGTATTGTTAATTTTTTGTATTTTTTGCATAAGTTTGCGTGTAAAGCCATCGAGCAATCAATCTTATCGAATACTTAGAATCGGTTTTGTCGTGTTAATCATAAAAAAATACGGTTTTACTGGCGGTAGGACCTCTTGTGAGTCCGCACGGGTAGGTACCACCACCCTGCCTATTTCTGCCGTGAAGCAGTAATGCGTTTAGCTTTTAAGTTATAAATGTCTATGGGCTCCAGTAACCACTTAACACCAGGTGGGCTTTGAGCTCGTCCACCCATCTAAGCAATAAAAAAAACATACCTCTTTGGACACATGGTATGCTTTACCACCAGGAAATCGTCAGGCCATTTAATAATAAATGTATCATAAAAAAAAGACACTCTGTATACACATAGCTGTGACTTTAAAGCACACTCTGTATGTGGCTACAAATAGCTTATCGTGATAATGTCAGTAGTAGAACTATTTAAACTGCTAGTTCTGACGTCACAAGAGAAGAGAAATAAATGTGTCACAAGCCAACGCTTGGGCCGATCGTGCCTCTTTGTCGCTTGTTCCGCGCTCCCGCTTGCACGCTCAGGCTCGGGCGGAACGTGACACTTTTTTGTGCGTGCAGCCGGTGTTTATCGATTTATAAGACTTTATCACGTCAAACTGGTTACTGGTGGTAGGACCTCTTGTGAGTCCGGGCGGGTAGGTACCACCGCCCTGCCTATTTCTGCCGTGAAGCAATAATGCGTTTCGGTTTGAAGGGTGGGGCAGCCGCTGTAACTATACATGAGACCTTAGAACTTATATCTCAAGGTGGGTGGCGCATTTACGTTGTAGGTGTCTATGGGCTCCAGTAACCACTTAACACCAGGTGGGCTAAGAGCTCGTCCATCCATCTAAGCAATAAAAAATAAAAAATAAAGATTTTTTGAGTGGACTTTTTGGAGGATCCCGAGAAGTTACGTCCAGCGGCTTTGTTTCATTTTCCCACATTTGTACACTTTCACAGATTTTAAACAGTTAATAAACCACCATTATTACACATTTAAACCCGAAGAAACACTAAATAGACAAAATAAAACAAATCACACATCTTCACTCCTCGTGTTCCCGCCAAAAAGTCCCAATACAATCGATTATATTTCATCTCATTTCATTTCATTTAATTTCATCCCAGTTGATTAATGTCTCAAATTAATCATCTTCATATCATTTCACTTCATAATATCATTTTTCATAAAAATATGAATATAAATTAAAATAAGACATGACTTAAAGGTCTCAGTTACCAGGTCATAAATCTCTTGAAAAAAAAAGAAAGCAGTGTATTCAGTAGTGAGGAGATATCTAAAGATTGTACAAGTGGAGTTACAGATGAAGCAATATTAAGTGAACTATTGCAATCTATATATTTATTTACTGGCTTTGGAACCTGAGTCCTACACTAGTAAAGGGAAACTGAGAATGAAACAAAAATATTAACAAGAACTATTTATTGGTCAATAAATAACAGTGGAAACAATTGTAATGGCGCTTTCATTCTTAACAATCCGATAACGGGCCAATTTTGATTCACTGACCGAATTGAGTCGAGTGGATAACAAATGTCTTAGAAGTTACAACGTAAATATCGCCAGCCCATCTTGAAACATGAGGTCTAGTCTCAATTCTATTGATCTCCAAATGGAAATGGATAATGTTCATTTTATAGAAACAAACACGACTAATGTCTTACTTTTGGTTTAGATAGGCGGACGAAAAAAGCCCATCGGGTACTAAATATTCATAGAGCCTTAATCAGTAAATACTTTCAAACTGACCCCTGGATCAGGCACAGTACGGGTCTTTCTTACCTCTATTCTTTAAGCCCACAGACGTCCACAGCTGGACATAAGCTTATAGAAATTTATTAAAACTTAAATACAGGGGGGAGGAATAGGTATTTTTTTCAAATAATTGCAACCGCAGTTGCATGGTAATGCAGGGGGTAGGAGGGGGCTAAACAGTGGAGCCAGCGCCGAGACCGGCGACGCGATTGGCAAAAACGGATTCGGCAAGTAACTTGGCATAATATCCGGTAAAGACACTTCGGTTATAGCTCCGCAAGGCGTCACCGTGGGACTTAAACCACCTAACTGATGTAGTTCTGGTAGCGCTGTTATTAATGGGTATTCGTAGGGGATCAGTGGGGGAAGAATGCTGGGGGCTTTTGGTGGGCAGCATGGTGGCTTTGATTCGCAGGGAAACTGTACCGGCAACGGTACACACCTCGGGCAAACCGGTGGCGTAACTGGCAGGATGGCTGGAGGCTCGCAGCACTTAGAGATGATTTCAAATGGATGTGGTGCTGCCATAGACAAGGAATTCGTTAGAAACGGCACACGATTCGTGATCGGTCTGTGGCATGGACGCGGTGTCTCACAGTGGATCGGTGCTGGCAACGGTAGGGAGTTCGTACAGAATAGTCCGGTGAAAGCAGCGCCGGTTGGCATCAGCGGCGTGTTCGGACGCAATGGCTGCTGTAAATAAACTTGACTGTTTACCTGGAATCAGAGAATATTTTTTTTTAAACTCCTTGCTGTTTGTTGACGGAGACCTTGCGTATTAGAATCTGAATACCACCATTCACCTTGAAAAATCAGGTCAAAGACTGAATTGGATTGTGATTACACATGATTACATCGGGTGAGAAAAGGGGCATGGTAATACTTAACTTTGTGAACTCACAACCCAACCCCAATTGGATCGTAAATTCGTTCACCCGTCTTTAGTTTTCTATTACTAAGATGAGTAGATGAGCACACGGCTCACCGGCCCATAGACATAAACCATGTAAAAGCCCTCACCTAACTTGAGACATGAGTTCTAAATATCAATTTTTACAGCACAACCTGTGCCATACCCTCCAAACCGAAACGGCAGAAATAGACAGGGTGGTGGTATGTATCCATGCGAATACACAAGATCCCCCATAACCCGTAATTTGGGTAATTAGGCCACGACTACTGGAAGGCTAAATGACGCACCATCATCAGCCAACAGATATTGCTGTTGGACAAAGGCCTTCCCCAAGGTTTGCCACAATGACCGATACTGCCTGCATCCAGCGAAGCCCGGACCTTTAGCAGGTCTTCCGTCTTCCACCTCCTTACCCACACCTTCAGGTGCTCGATAGCCACTACCGAGCTTTTTGCCCCCAGAACCCGTCTGTTATACGAGCAATATGCCCTGCCACTACAACCTCGCATCCTTCGGGCTATCGAGCTTATCACAGTTTTCCTGCATATCTTCTCATTCCTAATTCTTTTCTAGCAGCGAAACTCCAAGTATAACCCTCTCCATTGCTCTTCAGATGACTGTGAGCCTTCTAATAAAGCCTACAGACAACTAATTGAAGTCACCGTGGCCTAATTAATAAGACGTCCAATGTACTCTTATTAAACAATGCGACTGTCTCAGTGTTCGAATCCCGGTGGCAAGTCCAATTTTTCTAATGAAATACGTACTTAGTCGACTAGCGCCCACGAATTACTTCCAAGATGACGATATAACGTGGTGTAACGAAAATCGAACCCGCAATATGAATTATCGTAATTTTTAGCTCATTCACTGATCTATGCAAGAAATTGGTAACAAATATATTTTTTTATTGCGTAGATGGGTGGACGAGCTCACAGTTCACCTGGTGTTAAGTAGTTACTGGAGCCCATAGACATCTACAACGTAAATGCGCCACCCACCTCGAGATATAAGTTCTAAAGTCTCAAGTATAGTTACAACGGCTGCCCCACCCTTCAAACCGACGCATTACTGCTTCACGGCAGAAATAGGCAGGGTGGTGGTACCTACCCGCGCGGACTCACAAGAGGTCCTGCCACCAGTAATTACGCAAATTATAATTTTGCGGGTTTGATTTTTATTACACGATGTTATTCCTTCACCGTCGAAGTCAATCGTGAACATTCGTTGAGTACGTATTTCATTAGAAAAATTGATACCCGCCTGAGATTCGAACACCGGTTCATCGCTCAACACGTATGCACCGGACGTCTTATCCTTTAGGCCACGACGACTAATTTTCCATTATTAAATACCACGATGACTCCAAATGAGTTGATGAGTTAACTGAAGCTAATTCAAAAGCTGAAGCTTCAATTAAAAATTTTCAATAACAACAACTTACAGCCAAAACGATTGTGCATCCAAATAATAATTTGATTAACATTTTTCTATGTATTATTCTATTATTACGACGGACACGAAGGTTTTTTTTTTAGTTAAGCTATATTAATCTGAACTTGAACAACGGTATTATCCACAATAGTGTCACAGTGCATATATATAACAGTAGTAACGTCCATTAAGCACACACAGTTTATATTCACTTAATTTTGTGCAACTAACATATATTTCAATCGGGTGCTTGCGTAAATCTTTATCGAGGCGCTATCAAATCTGTCGTTGCCTGATTTTGAAAAGACTTATTTTCATGGAAATCATTAATTCTATTGCGTAAATTGGCATTTGTGAGTTGCACTGCGGGCGGTAGCTTCGATTGTGCAATAGTGTTTTGCGCTGGGGTTCGTGATAAATAAAAATTTTACCGGATTACAAGTTATAGCTCTATTTATCTTAAAACACTTAAGCCTCCGTCAAACAGAACGCGTACTTAACGTCGCGCTCTTCAAATTGACTAGATGAGTCTAACGCTCCTTGACGCAACGCATTCGCCAAATCATAGTGCCTTTCGATAGCAGTGTGAAAATTTAAAAGTATTAAGAAATCGAGTGATTCAGATGTGGCATTGTATAAGCATGGGTATTTTCTAACTATTTATATTATTTTGTCTGGCATTATCTAGTATTTTAATACACATTCACTCGGACGCTAAAATAAAATTTGTAAAAGATTACAACGCTTGACGTCAAACCGTCCTGACGCCGCGACAGAGCGCTGCGTACTTATAGCGCTGGGGCTCTGTTTGACGGTATGTTACCAAAGTAGTACAACACATCGCGGCGTCATAGCGCGGCGTCATTTTAGCGCTCTGACGCGCGCTAATTACGCGTTCTGTTTGACGAAGCCTTTAACGAACACTTTAAAATTCTCAATTCACTTCTTCCGCTTCGCTTCAGGTGATCCGTTCGCTGTTTCGCTTCGAGTAGATCCGATTACTCACTGTCTTCGTGTCATCCCTGCAACGGTTTTATAGTCGATACGACATCCCTAGAATTATCGGGAACCTTCCTGATAAGTCGAGTAGTTTCGATATGCTATTTGACAATAGATGGCGTTGTGCTTCTCGAGCGTTTACAGGTCTTTTGATCTTCGTTTCTGCTATTCGACGATAGATGGCGTTGCTCATACCGGCGTAACAATAGCTAGCGGAGTTTATGAGAGGACTGACTCGGTGGTTACCGCCTCGGAATGTTGCATCGAGGGTTGTGAGTTCGATTCCCACATCGGGCAAACATTGTGTGATAAACAGGTTTATTAAAATTTGCCCTTCGTCAGGGCGCTTATTGTCTATATATATATAAACAATTAGCGTATTTAAAGGTATTTAGGTATGTTTGTTATACAATTACAAGTATTCATTTTTAGTAATGATTTATGTTTTTCTTTTAGGAAGTCTTATCGGTGGCCCCAAAGGCCTTTCCAGTTTGAGCAGGACACGTGGGAGGGGTGGGATTTACTAACAGCTTCCCGAGCGCCATCGAGATTTCCATCTCATTTGCAAGAATATTCGTCGTACCTAAATTGCATAGATAGCCCAATGCACAAGGACCTATTATATAGATGTAAATCACTACATAGTATTAAACAAAGTCGGACGGATTTTGATGCGTTTTTTTTTAATAGATAGAGTAATTGAAGAGGAAGGTTTATATGTATAATAACATCCTTTAAATGGTGGAGAAATTAATAATAAATTACAATTTCTGAACCGAAGCGAGGGCGGGTCGCTAGTTGTACTACAAAAAAAAAGAGAATCCTGATGTGTTTGATCTCTTTTCTATTCACCTACCCCTATCTATACACCTATCTATACTCAATTAGAAAAACGTACAAATTTATTAATAAATAAATTATTTATTTTAACTAAATAACACATGAAAATAATTTACGTAACTATCCAAAGTAATTAAATCCAATAATTTAATCTAAACATAAGATCTACAAAGTAGGAGGTGGTATGGGCACTTTCCTTAGAAAATGACTCCGCGCCTGTGTCGGCGGCGGTAGAAAATTGGATGACGTTGTCGAAAGGGCTGATATTGGAGAAGCAATGGGCAGATAAGGGTTCCCCGCTGGCTGCCTCTCGGGGTACATTTGGGGTGACATGTAATTCACGACCGGAGCGCTTCTGTAGAACTCGTTAACGGGATATTGCTCAAAAGGTATGACTGATTGAGTTTGACATTCCACTCGAGGTCGTGTCAAAGCTCGTTGACAATCACACGGAAACTCATTTGGTTGTACGCGCACTTCGATTGGCGCACGGGCTATTTCGTTTGCCAGTATTCTGATGGGACAATCGTTGGCCGGTACGATACTGGATAATGGGACGATTTCTCGTTCTCTGGGTACAGCGATTGGTTCGAACATATTCTGGCTTGGCACAATAACCCGTCTCGACTTAATTGTTTCCGGGACAAACATCGTTCTGCCCGTATCCTCTGCGGCAGATTTAATAGCTTGTATCGCCATTGGTGCTTTCGATGGCGTCAAAATTTGTCTCAATAATGAAGCTAGAGCTGTATCTGGACATTGGGCATACGACTGCTGTGATGATAAGATGATTGAGACGCAAACAAAGATGACTCTAATTCTTCCCATTGTTTGGAGGTCTGAAATAGAAATGTTATTAATTGAAACCTTTTTGGTTTTGTTAAAGGTATTTATGTTATTGTTACTGTTATTATACAGCAGTTTTTCCGGATCTTAAGATGAATTAATGGCGACTCCGATGATGAATTAATTACAAGTGAACTGAAACAAGTAGATTAGTATATATCCTCGTGGTAGGACCTCTTGTGAGTCCGCGCAGGTAAGTACCACCACCCCGCCTATTTCTGCCGTGAAGCAGTAATGCGTTTCGGTTTGAAGGGTGGGGCAGCCGTTGTAACTATACTGAGACCTTAGAACTATATCTCAAGGTGGGTGGCGCATTTACGTCGTAGATGTCTATGGGCTCCAGTAACCACTTAACACCAGGTGGGCTGTGAGCTCGTCCCCCCAATAGCCACCTAAAGCAATAAAAAAAAACATCATTACAGTAAGTGTGTAACTATAATTGTACAAACATCTGTATGTTCAATTCTAATCATATTGTTCTTGATTTTTAAGTATGGCAATTGGCTTCTTAAAATGCCATTGTTGCCAGAATCGAGCTTTAAAAAAATTTTCAATTGTAAAAAAATATGTATTTAGTTATTGGCATTGAAGTGAAATGTAGTCTCGGTAAAACAGTGGTTATTTACTGGACTTTTTGGATAAGCCCGAAAACCCACATCGCTTTTATCGTTTTTCCACTTTCGCTCAATGCTTAATAAACCACCGCTATTACACGATTAAACCTGCAGAAACACTAAATTGATAAAATAAAACAATTCACACAACATCGCATTTGGCGTTCCCGCCAAAAAGCACTTAAAAAAATTACAAGAAACACCATAAAATCGAATTAAAGATATAGGCAAAGGGGTGTGGTTTCATTAGCTAATGCTGTACATTATGTTCAACATTTTATTTTTATTTTCAGCGAGACAAACGCATACCTTTTTTTTTTTGGTCAGTAGGAAATCGACGGACTTCCGCCCTTCACTGGGGATGGCGGGCGGGGTATGTCAGAGTCGAACTGACTAAAACCTCCTGTCGCTCAACAACCAACATCCAAACCTCGCATGAGACAGAACTCATGAAAAGGCAAAGGGGGGAAAGTGAAGCGCTTAGTGCGGATCACATCTCTTCCATCACCCTCCCCCTTCTCCCATCACCCTCCCCCTCAATTCTTGAATGTTTCTAAGAATTTTAACGCAATGACGAACACCAATCACAAATTATGTCTAACTATTGCGTACATTTCCGGTTGCTTTGACGTTTATTTTGGCCCCGAATGACGTTAATAGAAATGAATTAGTGTCGGGTGGGCACCACCCACGCGGACCCACGGGAGGTCCTACCACCAGGTCTTCATGTTCCACTTATTTTTTTAATAAAAGCATTGCGGCATAAGATAATAAGAGCATAATAGTTCATATAATAAACAATACGATTTCCTACCTTTTATAAATATCTGTTATAAAATCTGTATAAGCTTACCCGAAATTATAAATTAAAATTAAGAAGAATAAATACCTGTTATCTTATCGACAGCTAGTGATTTAATAACATGCAAACTGTAGTTTCAATCGATTCATTTATATTCTAGTTCAATTACGAAACATTATTATCTAAAATCTACATATCTTTGTCGCATCATAATTTTACTATCATCACTGATAACTCACAAGAAACATGTTAAGAAACATTTCATAATAGCTTCTCGTAACTATCATTATCCCGTCAAATAAATACAGAATAGACAAGTTAAGATAAATCTTGAAATCGTTTATTTTGGCTAAAAGTTAAAGGGAGTAAACGGATATAGATGGAGTCCTTAAAGACTTCAGTGTGCTTAGTGCGAGTATTTTAACGTTCTCCATAGCGTAAAAGTTAACTCAAATTTGTATGGAATTGGAACGTACCAACTGCATACAAATTGAGTTAACTTTTACGCTATCGAGACTGTTAAAAGCTCGCGCTAAGCACACAGTTACAATAAAAGTTTTATTGTTCAATGAATGAGTTAACAAAATGGCGTTAATTGAATTTGAAGTCTGGCGCAAATGATTTGGGAGCAGCTACTAAAATATATAGAAGTAAAATTGATTAGCGTAAAAGATATATCTGCATTGAAACTGTGTTTTAAAAGAGGGGTGGAATAAACTTTGGCATTGGAGGCATTTGGCTACAGGACCGCCATTTTAAATGTATTTTATTTTACGGTCACTATGAATGCACTACAGTATTGGTACATTTCAGTAGTGTTTTTTTATTGCTTAGACGGCCGATCGAGCTCACGGCCCACCAGGTGTTAAGTGGTTAACTAAGCCCATAGACATCTACAACATAAATGCCGCCACCCACCTCGAGACATGAGTACTAAGGTCTCCGTTTTTTTCAGTACAGCGTGTTTCATGAGGTTAAATTTGTCATTAAATCCTTCTTTGTTATGCTATTATTATGTATATAGATAACAATAGGCGTGTTTTTTTCTAATTTTATATATACGCGTCTTTTACTCGATTGAATTAAGTTATTAACTTTTCAGGAATAAGTACCACTAATACAATAAGTGAACGGTATATAACTATAAACAAATGTATTCTATTAGTTCTTTCGTGCAACCATACCCTATTTAATTTTAATTTTACCGGTGGTAGGACCTCTTGAGAGTCCGCGCGGGTAGGTACAACCGCCTTGCCTATTTCTGCCGCGAAGCCGTTGTAACTATACTGAGACCTTAGAACTTATATCTCATCTCAATCATAAATATATCGAAATCGTAAATTCACTGAAAATATATTTGTTTCTAGCTGAAATTGAAGTAAATTAGTTCATACGTATTTGCAACAACAAATGTTAATCTAAGAAAAATAAAATGCTTAGTATTATATAGTGAGATTTGGCGGGAATTCATTGGTTATATAATACTATTTCTTTATTTCTAAAAGTTAACTTGTCGAACAGAAAAATTCACTAAACAATGTCAGACAAAAACTTATATAATTGTTGGACTATTGACGGACTGGTTTATGAATAAAAAATTAAGATTATAAAAATATATTTTATTATTAGCTTACAAAATAAATTCAATTTGAGTTTACCAATAGAACAAACAAATCAAAATGGAACTTTTGACGGATAACATAAAGTTGAAAATCGTGCACATCAAACATTATAATATATTANAACAATGTCAGACAAAAACTTATATAATTGTTGGACTATTGACGGACTGGTTTATGAATAAAAAATTAAGATTATAAAAATATATTTTATTATTAGCTTACAAAATAAATTCAATTTGAGTTTACCAATAGAACAAACAAATCAAAATGGAACTTTTGACGGATAACATAAAGTTGAAAATCGTGCACATCAAACATTATAATATATTATCTATTAATTGAAATTATAAGTTTGAACAATATTATGATTCTATTGTCAGAGACTATTATACTTTTAGAATCACAGATTTCGCCAAGACTACACTTTAGACAAATATTAATAAAGACAAACAATATTTAATCTAATCTCAATTTGACCACAGACTAAGAAAAATTTGACAATAAACAAATAGTGTGCACGCGTGTGTGTCCAATACATAGTAGTGTGTGTAATGTTTTATTTATTGATTTATTATATTTTTTGTTCACAATTAAAAAAAAAGTTCACATTCTGCACACCTCCTCTATATTCTCTATAAGTGTGAGAAATTTCATACTCCTCCGTCCGCGCAATTTTCGTAAAAAAGGGATACAAAGTTTTTGCTTCGCGTATTAATATATAGATAATGATTCACAAGAATGGCGGTTGCAATGTGATCTGACGTAGATATTTCCCACACCCGCAGCCGCAGTCCATCCCGCAGTTACATATCCCGTCTCGGCAACAGCAGTTCGGTAACTGACAAGCACACTTCGGTAGCTCCAATCCACTTATTGGAATTTCCAAATGGCATCCACACGAGCAGGCAGGTAGATCGTAGTTGTATCCAAACATATCAAAAGGCGGACTGTCGTATGGGTTTGGTAGTAATTGAACCGGGCCAAAGGCGCAGTTTGGTTGACAGTTGCAGCTTGGCACAGATAATCCGTAGTAAGAGGTAAAGTCGTAGGGAGGACTGTAAGTACTTTGAGGGTAAGGCATTTCTATTGAAGTCAAGAAATCAATGATGTTTGGCATTTGTAGGGCCTTGCAAATACCGAGGTCACTCTCGCAAGTACATTGATTACGTTGGCAAGTACATGGGTTACTTTGGCAGGTGCATGGGTTACTTTGGCAGGTGCATGGGCTACTTTGGCAAGCGCACGGGATACTTTGACAAGTGCATGGGCTGCTTTGGCAAGTGCACGAGCTAATTTGACAAGTGCATGGGCTATTCTGGCAGTTACAAGCTCCTGCTTGACATCCACAGTTCAAATTTTGGCATCTGCATTCTGTCAATGGCCGAGCGCAATTCGGGCATCCGTAACCAAAACCTTGGCATGCGCATTCCGGAATCCTGCATTCACATTTATTCAGCGGATATCTATAATTCTGAACCGGGCCACCGAATTTGTTTCGTTGGCATCCACAATCGGCAATATGGCATCCGCAGTTCGGCATTTGGCATACGCAATTCGGTACATCTGCGACGGATGATGGTACTCGAGGTATTGGAGCGCGAACGAAGTCACCGACTTCTGGCAATAAATAACTATAAGCCTCGATAGGTATAGAACTGGCAAATGATGCTAGAAAAGGTAAATCTAGAATGTTTAGATACGGGACTTGGCACCCGCAAGCATCTATACAGCCACAATTGAAGTTCGAATCAATTGGCACCCCGGATCCATAATTTGGCATTTCTAGTTGTTTTTGACAGCCGCATAGCGGCAATCTGAATTTATTTGTTTTTGTTGTTTTAAACGATGAGATCACTTGTGAATCCGCCTGAAAAACGTGTCAATATTAGTTTTAATGTTATAATATTTTCCAACCATATTCCATAGAACAGACTGCCCAAGACCGATATAAATGGAAAATTTTGATTCGAGCCCTACACCCCAGCAGAGGGTAATAGGAAAGAATGATAATGATGATGATTCCATATTAAAACTATAGAAGAAATCTACAAAATTGTAACTAATTTGAAACGAAAAAAAATGGCGTCTGTTACGGTGCCACTTTTTTATATCTTTGCAGGTTTAAATAATCACGAATCCACGTCATATCATCCCAATATAGTATTTGTGTAACTACTACATTATTATTAAGTTTATTTTACATGTTATATTACCACGACTTCCCCATAATTTTCTCACTAATCTAAATCACTAAAGTCAAAACCTCATTGAGCCAATTTCAACCAAAATCTGGGAAAGGAAGTTATACCCGAGTCACTTATCAATAAAATTGGACATGTCAAGCAATGGCAGCAATTTAAAACCAAAACATGCTTCGAATTGCCATTAAATTGCTTGACAAAGATTTTGTTGACAAAACTATTAATCGAAACTCAATATTACTCAGTGTGCAAAGGAATCCCTTAGTTTACAGTTACATCGTCCAACTATCGTTAAAGTTTTAAAATAAACACAATTTACTGGCGGTAGGACCTCTTGTAAGTCCGCACGGGTAGGTACCACCGCCCTGCCTATTTCTGCCGAGAAGCAGTAATGCGTTTCGGTTTGAAGGGTGGGGCAGCCGCAACTATACTGAGACTTAGAACTGATATCTCAAGGTGGGTGGCGGCATTTACGTTGTAGATGTCTATGGGCTCCGGTAACTACTTAACACCAAGTGGGCTGTGAGGTCGTCCACCCACCTAAGCTATATAAATATATATATATATATTTGACGTACATATTCTTACTACGATTTCGTCCAATAGTTGAAAATCGCGGTAAGAAATTGTTGAATAAAAAGTATATAAGTTAAGTTAAGTATATAAGTTAAGATAATTAAGAGTGGTCAAATTAATACATTGCAATCTGTATATATAAAAATGAATTGCTGTTCGTTAGTCTCGCTAAAACTCGAGAACGGCTGGACCGATTTGGCTAATTTTGGTCTTGAATTATTTGTGGAAGTCCAGAGAAGGTTTAAAATGTATATAAATATGAAAATACTCGGAATTAAAAAAAAAAAAAAACAGATTCCTTTTGTTTGTTTTAAGTTTATTTTATACAAAAGTTTAGGTGTTTTTTTTTTAGATTGAGGCACTACAAAGTCTGCCGGGTCAGCTAGTTGTATATAAATATTTGAACAGAAAACGGTTTTGTTTTTAAGTATAGACGGTTGCGACCACTATCAAATATATTATAACCTAATAGTTATTTTTATAAATAGTGTTAGTACTTACAAACACACAAAACAAAGTGAGAAATATTAAAGGAACAATACGCTCCATCGTTCTTACAAAAACAATATCGAATTAATAATATACGTAGTGATATAAAAATTCAACTTTATATACTTAAAAATTAATAAAGTTATGAAACAATTAAAGTCACGATAAAATAATGATTTTCAAACAAAAAATTGCATTCCGATTGTCGATAATTTGCGTAAAACTTATCTGTGTTGGTAATCAATTATAATATTTCTCATATTAAAAATTATATGATAAATAATATAAATCTAATTACGCAAGCAGTTTTAAAGTGGACAATAATGATTCTTTTTAACACGCTTTTATTAACTTCACACGTATGTTTAACGGAAACTTGAAGTCGTCGTGGCCTAAAGGATAAGACGTCCGGTGCATTCGTATCTAGCGATGCAACGATGTTCGAGTCCCGCAGGCGGGTACAAATTTTTCTAATGAAATACGTACTTAACAATTGTTCACGATTGACTTCCACGGTGAAGGAATAACATCGTGTAATAAAAATCAAACCCGCAAAATTATAATTTGCGTAATTACTGGTGGTAGGACCTCTTGTGAGTCCGCGCGGGTAAGTACCACCGCCCCGCCTATTTCTGCCGTGAAGCAGTAATGCGTTTCGGTTTGAAGGGTGGGGCAGCCGTTGTGACTATACTGAGACCTTAGAACTTATATCTCAAGGTGTGTGGCGCATTTACGTTGTAGATGTCTATGGGCTTCAGTAACCACTTAACTAACACCAGGTGGACTGTGAGCTCGTCCACACGTCTAAGCAATAAAAATAAGTAAAAAAAAAACTTTGAAAATCATTTTGATTCCCTTGAAAATGTCGGATCAACCCGACACTTGGCATACTTATCAAGGACCGATGATAATTCAATTACTTTTTTTTTATTGCCCTTGTTGACAAACGAGCATACGGCCCATCTGATGGTGAGTGGTTACCGTCGCCCATGGACTTCAGCAATGCCAGGGGTAGAGCCAAGCCGCTGCCTACCGCTTAATACTCTCCACAAGCCTCGTTTGAAGAAGGACATGTCATAGCGCTCGAGAAACACCGTGGAGGGGAGCTCATTCCATAGCCGGATGGTACGTGGCAAAAAAGTCCTCTGGAAACGCACTGTGGATGACCGCAGTGGCTCCAGGTAGTATGGATGAACTCTACTCCGGTGGCGGGCGGTGCGATGGTAAAAACGAGACGTCGGTATCATCTCGAACAGTTCCTCAGAGCACGATAGCCACGATAGCAGAATTAGTAGGATAATCAGGATAATCAGGATTATCGATTTTTTGTCGGAATTACCTCCCAATTTTAACAGCTCTTCCACAATATTAACAAAGCCTAATTCAACCGCTGTACAAATTAATAGCTTATTATTGACGTGTTGATGTTCTATTTTTACACCATATTAAGGTATGTATAAGGTTTACAAAACACACTTTTATAGAAAACCAAATAAAAAAAGGACAATCAATAATAGTTTAAAATCTTAAAAACCCGCGAAATGTCTGTAATCTGTTTAATAAATACTGCAGACCTTTCTCCTAGTTCTAGTCTTAATGCCAGCTCAGCAGAAACTCAGTGGGAGTTTCTCGCCGGATCTTCTCAGTGGGTCGCGTTTCCGATCCGGTGGTAGATTCTGGGAAGCTCNTTATAGAAAACCAAATAAAAAAAGGACAATCAATAATAGTTTAAAATCTTAAAAACCCGCGAAATGTCTGTAATCTGTTTAATAAATACTGCAGACCTTTCTCCTAGTTCTAGTCTTAATGCCAGCTCAGCAGAAACTCAGTGGGAGTTTCTCGCCGGATCTTCTCAGTGGGTCGCGTTTCCGATCCGGTGGTAGATTCAGGGAAGCTCTACTCTTGCTAGGGCCAGTGTTAGCAACACTCCCGGTTTGAGCCCCGTGAGCTCACCTACACGTCAAGGAGAAGCTGAAAATTAAATAGCCTCTCAAGGCTATCAGCATAGGTATGAAAAAAGTCCTAATAAATTATTATTACAGATTTAAAATATCTTTAAAAATCTTTATAATGTTACATTCGTAGAAAAATACTATTTAATGTTATTACATCCGAATGATAAAATTGCTTTCCGAATAGATGGCTATGTATGAACTATGAATAAGGGACACGCCTGTAAAACCCTATTTGGATTTAAAACATAAAATCTACTTTGATATATAATCGAACCTGTCCAATAGCATTGACAACTATGTGATGTTTGATTTTTTCATTGCGATAAATTTTTTTTTTCTAGCGCGCATTTGTCATGGAAATTTCGAGAAAGTACTTAAGAAGACAGAAGATGAGAGGTGTGACCAGGGCCCTGAAACGGCGGTACTTTAAGACAAATATTTTATTTTGTATTGTACCTAGCGACATCTTGTAGCGGAGGCCCGTAAACTTATATATTATTAAAGTTAAGGTAAGTATTTAATTATTACTAGTGGTCCCGTAGAAGTCGAAATTCGACTTTAATCAATTGAAATTTTATGTTTAAACATTATTATGGTTGTATAGGCAAATACTATTGTACTTATATAATATAACCACAGATTTCGCCAAAACTACACTATACATAAATAATAAATAAAGACAAACAGTATTCATCTATTCTCAATTTGACCACAGACTAAACACTAACAAAAGTTTGGCAATTGACAATAAACAAAGAGTATATTTATATACATATATGTGTTGTGTCAAATACATGGTTGTGTGTGTAATGTTTTCTTTATTGATTTAATGTATCTTTTATGCATTATTTTAAAAAACTATTAACATTGTACACTTCTTCTCTATATTCTCTATAAGTGTGGAAAATTTCATACTCCTCCGTCCGCGCAATTTTCGTAAAAAGGGATACAAAGTTTTTGCTTCACGCATTAATATATAGATATAACTAAACATAGAAAATTAAAAAAATACAAATCTAACAGGGTCTTAAATTTGTTAGAGACAAATTGATTAAATTTTATCAATTTGTGGTTTCTAAAGATTTACAAAATTCTTCATTTACAAATAAAATATAGCATAGGTAATATGTTACTGCCATCAACAGGACCAATGAGAAACTAATCAAAACGAGGCCATCTAGTGGCCGGCGCCCGTAAACATTTTTGTTGAGTGCTTGAGTTGCTCATCTCTAACTAATATATGTGTATTATTTATGGGTGTGACGCCAATTGAAATGTTTTTATTTATATATAAGTGCACATTTGATTTGGTTAGAATAAGTTCGTTTCGGGTGGGTGGCGGCATTTATATTGTAGATGTCTATGGGCTCCATAACCACTTAACATCAGGTGGACCGTGAGCTCGTCCATCCATCTAAGCAAAAAAAAAAAATTGCCTTTCAAAACAATCCAGACAGATACAAACAGACCTAAGATGAAAGTAATCATAATATAATCTCAATGCTCTTAGTTTCACACACAAATATTACAAAAATAAAACATCAATAATTGTAAACAGCTTATATTTTTATGTACAACCATAAAATTTCAACAAATTCCATACAATTGTCAACACTTTAAACCAGAACAGAAAAATAAATTTACTTTGATCAATCACTTAAAACACTAAGTAGTTTAAAACAACTAAACTTTCAGGATTATCTACAATATAAACACTATTATTTGATGGGGTTTTTTACCAAGGTTTTCGGTTTTAATGAGGTCCTAACATTTTGATTTGATGTTAGCAAACCCCATTATCACGGGTAAATTGAAGAGTACAGATAGGATGTTAGGATGTTGGTAGGCAGCGGCTTGGCTCTGCCCCTGGCATTGCTGAAGTCCATGGGCGACGGTAACCACTCACCATCAGGTGGTCCGTATGCTCGTATGCCTACAAGGGCAATAAAAAAAAAAAAAAAAAAAGTGCGTTATTTCTAGTTCATTTTTGAGTTTTACCACTAGAACTCATCTCCATCAATCATTCAATTCGATAATCATTATATGAACCAGGCTAATAATAGTGTTTATGTTTTAATTATTGTACCGTGAGGTAAGTTACTGTCACTGAAAATAACTCTGCCGTTATTCGTTTGTCGTGGGTGGTGGTTTTCCACTTGCCAACACTTTCTTCATTGTCTTCATCATGCCGGGAATGAGTGACATGTGTTTATCGACACACTTCACGGCACACTTCTCAAAATCTATAGTGCATTTGTCAATCTGAAAATAAAGTGTATATAAATCTGTAGCGTGCAACATTCGGTTGCACTCGGGCGTCATCGGTCGCGATCGGAGTTCCCGAACGCGCAGGTGTCCCGTGACGTCACACGGCGAGATTCGCGCGCGTCGATTTAAGTGGATTGTAAAAACGTATTATAATTTTAGTTTTAATTGGTGTCTTGTAGTGCCTAGCAACTTGTTTTCTCTTTTTTACTTTTTATTAGAACATTGTACACATAATATTATATTATTATATTATTGTTGAATTGGTGTGTTTGACTTTTATGTGTTCGGAGCATAATATCCCGAGAATACAAATAACAAACCACAAATCAATCAAATCAAATCAAAAAAAAATTATTCAACATAAATGAAAGTACACTAGTGGTCCCGCAGTAGTCGAAATTCGACTATAATTGGAATTGTAAGTTTGTACACTAATATGATTGTATTTTATACTTCTATAATCACAAATTACGTCAAGGCTACACTATAAAAAAATATTAATAAAGACAAAAATTATTTAATCTATTCTCAATTTGACCACAGACGTCAAAAGTTTGACAATAAATAGTATGCATGCGTGTGTGCGTCAAATACATGGTAGTGTGTGTAATGTTTTCTTTATAGATTTAATGTATCTTCTACGCATTATTTAAAAAAAATATTAGCATTGTGCACTTCTTCTCAATATTCTCTATAACAGTGGAAAATTTCATAGTCCTCCGTCCGCGCAATTTTCTTAAAAAGGGATACAAAGTTTTTGCTTCACGTATTAATATATAGATATTGTTGAACGTCAAAAGAACTACCGCCAATTCACAAAAACTAGCCTCCGTCCTGAGAAGAATTGGCAAGAAGCTCAGCGGGCATGTCTTTTTTTTTAATATTAGATATATATTTTTTTCAATATTAGTTTTTTTTTAAATATTCATCATTCATCATTCATTCATTCATTCAATAGATCGAATTCTGAGATTATGTTTATAGTAATCTATACTATACATATAAATAAAATTGGAGTGTCTGTTTGTAATATTGAAATTACCGCTTTTTACTACGTGCATATGAATATAATATATACGGTACATACATCAAAATAACATTTTTTACAATTTTTGTCTGTCTGCCTGTTTGTTTCGGCTAATCTCTGGAACGGCTGGACCGATTTTGACGAGACTTTCACTGATAGGTGATGATATAAGGAGTAATTTAGGCTACTTTAACTTAGGCTAATTAAGACTGCCATCAGTTGTCCAATGAACAAGTGTCTACAAATAAATATCAGTTTTCAGAGTTACAACTGAAATAAAGAATCCAGTTCAAGTGTTGTGTTCCAATTGAGATGTCCTTTGTGACTTCCTTGGCCAATTGGTTTTGATTACTACTGGCGCTTGAGATACCTAAAAGCACCGTTAGTGGATCGGGAGGATCCGAAATAACTCGTTTAGGGCGACATTGACCATTTATCATTCAGTACACAGGGTCGGGAATGTAGTTACCGGCGACCACAAAGAGAGAATTGTCGTGGCGTGCCGCTTTTTCGAAATGGGGCACTGATGCTGACTGTATATACTTATTGATGGACTCTAGGTCTACGTCGTCATGGAGGTAAGGTTGGTAGACAAAAAAACAGTATGTTAATGAATTTGTATGTTCCGAATATATCACTTACAGTTTCTTGACTAGGATCAGGTCCTAATCTATCTCTGGCCGTGTCATTGCAATCCATAACGCATCTCTGTAGCCTGTTCTGGAAATGATTGATCTCATTCTGAAAAATTACATTATGTTGAATAAGGAGGCATTTACATATTATTATGTTTCTTTTCATGATTTCATGTTCTTAATTATGTGCAAATATGAAATTCCTAGCTCTGAGCTGGTATTTTGTTTGTCTTAAAGTATGGATGGCTCGTAGGTACTACCTATTAGTGTTCCGAGTCAGTAAATTTGAATTGAGGGAGGTCTATGGTTGCAGATAACCACTAACCAACAGATGGACCATGAGCTTGTTCACTGATCTAGTGATGAAAATGCAAAATGATCACCAAATGGTATTCTATCTAATCTAATCTATCTATCTAAATCAAATCACCCAATGGTGAATGGTTCAGATTTACAAATCAGTCCGTCAGATGGCACTGCAGTCGGTATCTAGGTTATTTATATTTCCTAGAAATAATTTATACGGCAATACAACGTTTGCCAGGCCAGCTAGTATTATATATTTATATACATAAATTGAATATACTGATATTTGTTGCATCACTATCAAGAATAGACTTTGTTATATCTTGACATATTGTACAAACTAAAAACCACAAAACACCCTTTAAATAATCTCACCTGAACATAATTATTGGCATGATTGAGAGGAGTAGTACAGTTTTCTATGCAGCCATGAACCCTTTCCAATGAGGATTGTGTATCGTCACAGCATTTGGATGCACATCTATGCATGTCGCCCTGAGATATACAGAAAAAAATAATTAAGTTCTTTATTATATTACTTTTACTGGTCGTAAGGCTTGTTTCGAACCAGTACCAGCATCCTACCTGTGTATGCTGTGGTTAAGAGTTGATATGGACCAGTTTAAATTGTGAAGATAGCCATTACACAATAAAGACTTGGAGTTTAGGTCTCAAGGTGAGAAATCGCATTCACATTGTAATGACTGGTGGTAGGACTAATGACGATGCCAGTGGGAACAACCCTTCCCCGACATGTATACCTACCACTCTAAAGACATATCGATGTTGATAAATGGCTAAACTAATTAGGGTATGGAGTAAAGTCACCAGCAGCCTGAACTCAAAAACATGGAGATCACAAAATAAGCCCTTAATGTATATTGTTGTTGTTGTTTCAATCTAGTTGCATTTTTTTTTTATCTGGTCGTAGGGCATCTTGTGAGTCCGCACAAGTAGGTACCACCACCTTGCCTATTTCTGCCGTGAAGTGAAGCAATAATCCATTTCGGTTTGAAGGATGGGGCAGCCGTTATACTGTAAAATTGAGCGTTTGAACTCATATCTCAAGGTAGGTGGTGGCATTTACTTTGTATATGTCTATGGGCTCCAGTAACCACTTAACATCAGGTGAGCCGTGGACTCGTCCACCCACCTAAGCAATAAATAAATAAATAAGAAAAAAAAAAGCTCAATTTGGATGATTAAACATCCAGCTATCATTATTTCTATCTAGTGCAATACTTTTGCTCATTACTTTAGAATTCACAAATACTTTAGCTATCGTGGTCATTGACAAACAAACATGAGAATAAACCACAGTAGTCATAATAATCATCACCGACTAGTAGCTTAGATTTATTGATACATAATTCAAATTCAAAATTCAAATTCAAAATCATTTATTTCAACTGAGATGTCAGTATGACACACTTGTTGAATGTCAAAATACAAATAACAATGTTAAATCTACCACTGGTTCCAAACAAAGCCACAGTCCTGAGAAGAACCGGCGTAACAAACTCAGCGGCCTTTTTTTTTGTTTTTTCTCAAATATTTACTTTTTTTTAAATAAATTAAAATATTTACAATAAAAGAAAAATAAGTCAAAAAATACAAATAAAAAAATATTTATAATAATGAAAAATGAAAAGGCCAGGAGCGAGCGCCTCATTCCCCTGTAGTGCCATCTAGTAAATAATCCTTAACTTTATAATATGCCTTGTTGCACAAACGTTCCTTGACAGTTTTCTTAAATCTATGAACAGGTAGTAATTGAACGTTTTGTGGGATCTTGTTGAAAATTTGTACACCCAGCCCCCTAAAAGAGTTGCTTATTTTCTTAATTCGAGCCGCCGGCAACGCAAGCCTATGTTTGTTCCTAGTGTTCACATTGTGCAAATCGCAGACTCTGGGGAATTCTTCAATGTTTTTACGCACGTACAATAAATTTTCAAATAATAATAGTGTACGTTTGACTAATTATAACTTCGAGATATTGATATAATAATATGTTACTATATGTTACTAATATATTACAATTAACGATTATCTTTATATTTGAATGCCAAGTGTGTTCCCTTTAAAGCAAATTAGTATTCAATAAAAACCTCTTCGATCTTAATAATGTATGGTAACGATAAATTTGCTAAGAAACAGTTGGAGGATATAATTCTCGTCTTTATGACAGTATTATTATTTCAGATTTTTAATAGATTAATAAAATATAAATAGACGTCCAAATTATGTTATTTTATTACATTATTGCATAATTTTCTTATGCTTATCACAACTTCTAGGTTAGGATCAACATACTTGCATTTTTCGTAAATAGCTACGATCTAGTTCATTAACTAGATTAGTCATTTCTTGCTCGATGCGGTATTTTTGAGCTTCCACCATTTTTAGTTTATTGCAATTTCACAAAAGAAAAATAATACTAAAGGAATAAATGCAAGACACCCGGTAGTAGATAGAACTGTGACAGATGAAAGATCACAGTTGATTTTTTGATTCGTCCGCAAGATAGACGAAGGGAATATAGCCCATACAGGCAAATCTTTGTAACAAAGGTTGGAAGGAAAGGTAATTTTTTTTATGAAAAGTTAAATTAAACTAAATGAGAAAACGAAATTAAGTTAAATTACGAAATTAAGCTTAATGGAACTAATTAACACTAGATGAAATAAGCTCAGTCCATAAGGCAGCTCTCTAAACATCTGAAAAAGGCTCTCTTCCATCTGCCGGAAACGTACTATGAGCTTCTTCGGACACATCACGCGGTCTCCCAAACATGAATTAGAGAAGCTCATAATTACAGGTCGCATAGAGGGCAAGCGCGCCGTGGGCAGAACACCAGCCAGATGGTCAGATCTAGCAAGAGAAGCACTTGGTGGTAGTCTGTACCATGCAGTCCATGCCACTCGTGATCGAGCACATTGGAAGTACGTCATATGTGGTCGCGATCCTCAGTAGTGTGGGAACGATATAGAAGAGAGAAACAAGCTAGTAAAGGTCCAGATAGTTAATCCTATTCACATAGTGATAATTCGAACAAAAACAAATTAAAAACATATTAGTTTTTATTGATTTAATATAATAGTGGTTGAATTATGAAATTGCCGTTTTATTGTAATAGGTACTTCGAATTGACATAGAACCTTCATGGCTTGAGGTTTTTGAGTGAAACTTTTTTTCAAATGGTACCCATGAGGTTAAGTGAATAAAAAATGTGCAACATTCGATTATCGACTTTCTTGGATATAGAAACTGGTGTTGCCTTCTTAAATCGATACAGAAATGAAGGAATATTGGATCGATTTGAGACATCTGATGAAAAGTGGTTTCTTTACGATAACCGTGAGCGAAAAATACAATGGTTGACCCCAGGTCAAACGCCGCAACAGTGTCTTAAAGCAAAGCTTACCAATAAATAGTAACTGGTTTTTTTTTATTTTTTTTATTGCCCTTTTAGGCAGACGAGCATACGGCCCACCTGATGGTGAGTGGTTACCGTCGCCCATGGACTTCAGCAATGCCAGGGGCAGAGCCAAGCCGCTGCCTACCGCTGTTTGGTGGTCTCAGCATGGTGTTATTCACTATAGCTTTCTCCGATCTGGTCAAGCAATAACGGCAGAGGCTTACTGTGCCGAACTCCGAATAATGATGGCAAAACTTGCAGTAAAACAGCCCCGACTCGTGAATCGATCTTCACCATTGTTGCTCCATGATAACGCGAGACTTCATACGCACGAGAAACCGTTTTAACTCTACAGGAACTGCAATTAGAAACCATTCGTTACTCTCCGTATTCGCCAGACCTTGCTCCAACGGACTACCATTTTTTTCGTGATTTGGAGAATTTTCTACGTGATAAAAAGTTTTCTTCCCAGGAGGCAGTACAAAATGCTTTCACACAGCTTGTGGAATCTAGATCGCCAGAGTTCTATCGCAAAGGCATAAATGACCTTCCAATTAGATTTCAGCAATGTAATTATAATGGTAATTTTGATTAAATAAATATGTTAAATGAAAAAAAAAAAACGAATTTCAATTTTTCAATACAAATCGGCAATTTCATACTTTAACCCATATTACTAGAGGCATATTTTTTTTTATTAATATTTCATAAATCTTTTGTAAATAAATTTAATTTGCTAAAAGTACATTATACATAAAAATAAATTATTATATAGATTCCGAAGCACTAAAACTCGTACCGAATTCACAGTCCCAAGCTATTCAAAAAGCCCCTCACCAGCTCTTTGTCGAAATTAAACATATTGGGAAGCACAGTCGGTTTCTCTTGAAAAACTTCTTCAGCAGTGACTTGCCGCTTACAGTTCGGGCACAATTCATTCGCAGATAAAAATATAGTAGGAAATTCATTAATGATTCCTGGCAATATCGGGAGACATGGTGGCGGGGGCGTAATTTCAAATTTTAACGGCATTTTATTTGCAAAGTTCTCCGCAAGATTACGAGGCTTTTCGTTTAACGTTTTTGTTAATGCATTCGCAAAAGGATCGCCCAAGCTATTTTCTATTGTATTGAACGCTGCGGCTTTCATAGACGCCGGTGCACTTGGCAGGAAGTAGGCTTTGGCTTCACTTGGCCAACATTTCGGTTGGCTGGCCCAATAGCTTTGGTGGTTCACTGCTGACGGCGAACTCTGTAAGTTTTGTCTATGATGTTGACTAGCTGAATTTTGGCTTGAAACGAATCCATTGCACACTTGTGCTTGGGCTGTCTGAAAAAAAAGGAAATTGAGACTTTTTATTTTATTTTATGACCTGGTGACAGAGACCTTTAGGTCATATCTTATTTGGAAAATGTTCATTACTTTAATTGAGACTTGATAGACGTCGATTACTGATTACGTTAAAAGATTACAGAAGGACTTTTTGGCGGGAAAGCTAGCTCTTTTGTTAAGCATTCGACAAACATGTTGACATTAAAAAAAAAACTAAACATACCTTTAACACCAGAAAAAATAATAAAAACATATTCACCATAAACTTTAGAATAAAAAAAATCACAAATATTAAATATATAATAATCTAATAATAATACAAATATAAAATAAAACGTAGTATATATGTACTATTTTTATCGTTGTTACAGTTAATTATGTAATTCTTGCATTGTAATTATCAATAAATTTGTATTGTGTAGATGTGTGATTGATAGGAAAATAATTGGATGTAAATTATACATTTTTTCGTCAGGTACGTACATATGTCAAAAATGATTAATCGCTCAACAAATTGGTCCGTGAATATTTCACGGTAATAATGGGTTCACGGTACTGCACCATCACCGGGACGGTACTTAGATGGGTGGACGAGCTCACGACCCACCTGATGCTAAGTGGTTACTAGAGCTTATAGACATTTACAACGTAAATGCCGCCACCCACTTTGAGATATAAGTTCTAAGGTCTCAGTATAGTTACAACGGCTGCCCCACCCTTAAAGCCGAAACGCATTACTGCTTCACAGCAGAAATAGGCAGGGTGGTGGTACTTACCCGTGCAGACTCACAAGACGTATATTAATGAATACGAGGTTGGTTTTGTGAATTCTAAGAGTTTATGAATTATTGCTTGATGATGGCGAGGGCCCATCACAATACCATTTGCCATCTACTCTGAGGCATGGAGAAATGACATGAGACTTAGCTTGGCAGCAATTAGCATCTGCCTTTAACATAACTGAAGGCCATGATGACTTTTTGGCGGGAACGCGAGGAGTGAAGTTGTGTGATTTCTTTTATTTTGTCTATATTTTAGTGTTTCTTTAGATTTAAATGTGTAATAACGGTGGTTTGTTAACTGTTTAATATGTGTGAAAGTGCACAAATGTGGGAAAACGAAACAAGCTGCTGGACGTAACTTCTCGGGATACTCCAAAAAGTTCACTGAAAAAATCTCAGTAAATGACCACCATTTTACTGAGATTATATTTCATCCCGTATCATCTCATTTAATTTAATTTCATCTCAGTTGATCAATATCTCAAATTAATAATCTTCATTTCATTTCACTCCATATTATAATTTTTCACAAAAATAAGATTAAAAATTAAAATAAGACTTGACCTAAAGGTCTTAGTTACCAGGTCATAAAATTCCTTAAAAAAAAGGAAGGCCATGATCGAGGCTAACCACTCACCATCAGGTGGGCTGTATGCTCATTAACCTACAAGAGCAGTAAAGAAGAGTACCAGGTAATAAAAAGTCAAGATCACTAGAAAATATGTTTATTAATTAAAACACAAATTTACAGTATGATTGGTTTGGCTGAATACTTCAAGTCAGATTCCAAAGGTGTTGCCAAGGCCATGTAATCAAAATCGTTTGCAATCGGTACCAATAAGTTGGTACTTGTTGGATCCAGTGTTGGCGTAAAATAATTTTCTACCAACGGCACTGCCGCAGGTAGATAGCCCAAGCCGTATGGCAATTCCACGGGGTAAGGCGGCATAATTAACTGCTCATCGAAATTTATTATAGCTGGGAACACTATTTCGATACATTCGAATTCCGATGCTGGCAACATTAAGTTTTGATTCGAGTTCAGGTTCAGCGCGTCGATAAAATTCGGTGTAGATAGAACCAGTTCGTCGTTGCGTTTGAATTTGGGAGAAATTGGTACTAATTCTTCATAACACGGCATCCTTGATGGTGACGTCATTATCCGCTCATGATTTCTCGCTTTCGACGTCAAAGTCTGAAGGCAATCCGCATTGGTTCTGTATACTCGATCTGGAGTGACCAGGTTTTGAATTACTACCAATCCGGAGTTAAGAGGTTCCGGCTGGTAACACGGAAATTTCCGTTGAAAACCTCTCACTGCCTACGATAACATGAAGAGAGAAAACAATTATTGAACTTAGCAGAAGTAGTTTAAACTGCTAATGTAATTATACCCAGTTAAGTAACAAAGTCAAGAACTTGAAACATGAACAATATACTTCTTAAGCTGTATGGTGTGTGCACAAGAAATATCTCTAGAAACGCATACTATGCAGCCATTTCATATACTGGTAGTAGGACCTCTTGTGAGTCCGCACGGGTAGTTGCCACTCTACCTATTTCTGCAGTGAAGCAGTTATGCGCAATAACAAAAAAAAATTCTACATACGGCCACACTGATTACATTCTGATTTTACACTATCGAAGTAGTTTTTCATCTATGTTTTTTTTTTGTGCACAATATATTGTTTGTTATGCTGCCGATAAGATAACTGAAATAAAGTAATCAGACATTTTTTTTTTCCAATCAATACTTTAACTTAACCAAAGTTTTGTTTCGCTTTGACCTTTCGTACGTAATTGCTCGTTTAGGTTAGTAATTAAGAATGGGAATCCGAATTAATTCTAATTTACTGGTGGTAGGACCTATTGAGAGTCCGCGCGGGTAGGTACCACCACCCTGCTTAATTCTGCCGTGAAGCAGTAATGCGTTTCGGTTTGAAGGGTGGGGCAGCCGTTGTAACTATATCTGAGACCTTAGAACTTATGTCTCAAGGTGGGTGGCGCATTTACGTTGTAGATGTCTATGGGCTCCAGTAACCACTTAACATCAGGTGGGCTGTGAGTTCGTCCACCCATCTAAGCAATAAAAAAAAAATTACTTTTGTTTGATAACGTTGTTACCAAAAGCCTTTTTGTCAGTTTAGGTGTAATCATTCGCTCTGAGGCAATAGTTTAGCAACACAATAAAAACAAATTATTGAACCTACCTGCAAAGATAATATTACACACAAAACGTAATGTAGTTCCATTTTAAAATAACCACAAATAAAATTGTTTTAGATAAGAAAACTGTTTCGGTTTTATATAGAATAACATAATTTGTGTCCTAATAAACCGATCGATTGCAAATTGTTTTTTTATATCTTATCGAAGCAGGTTATGCAATTTTCTGAATTATTTTGAATTCTCGTGATAAATTATTTGATGTCTTCCTGTTTTCTCTCCTGCTACAGCTGCTTATAAAAAAAAAGGGTGCGTGTACTTATGTACGCGCGTAAGAAGTTATACTTTATTTTTATTAAATTTATATATATATTTTTTTATTTAAATTTTAATCGATTTGAAAAAAAATCGATTAAACAACATCCTCAAACACGCACATTGGACATCCCTTTTCTTGACATCGTATAAATTCGGTAATTCTCGGTACGGTTCGTAAAGTTCACCTTCGGCTATATTCAGACTCGCCAAGTTACGTCGGTCGTATTGTAATGAGCGATTTAGTGGGCAACTTCATTCTGTTAATTTGGTGTCACGGTGCGCGCACATCGTAAATATTTAACTCTCATCAATTTTTCATAAAGCGCCTAAAGAAGTATAACTTCAAAAACATTTCACATGTCTGTGTGATTAGTGCGAGTTTTTTAACGTTCTCGATAGCGTAAAAGTTAACTTAAATTTGTATGGAGTTGGAACGTTTGCCTACGTTTGCCGCTAGGGGCGCTGTTCCAACTGCATACAAATTTGAGTTACTTTTACTCTATCGAGAACTTTAAAAAACTCGCACCAAGCACACTGATGCGTCGGTGTTATCAAATCTAAAAGTTGCTGAAATGAAAACTGTCCCATCACCATTCTGGAATTTGATTAAACGTAAAAGACACACGAAAGACGATACTCAATAGAGGAGCTTAAGACGTATGTATCTTTTTAAGGAATTTTATGACCTGGTAACTAAGACCTTTAGGTCATGTCCTATTTTAATTTATATTCTTATTTTTGTGAAAAATGATAATATGGAGTGAAATGAACATGATTAATTTGAGACATTACTAATCAATTGGGATGAAATTAAATGAAATGAGATGAGATGATATGGGATGAAAATAAATAATCTTAGTAAAATGGTGGACATTTACTTAAATTTTTTCAGTGGACTTTTTGGAGGATCCCGAGAAGTTACGTCCAGCGGCCTTGTTTCATTTCCTCAATTTTGTGCACTTTCACAGATATTAAACAGTTAATAAACCACCGTTATTACACATTTAAACCTGAAGAAACACTAAATAGACAAAATAAAACAAATCACACAACCTCACTCCTCGCGTTCCCGCCAAAAAGTCCATAGGACGTATAGGATGTAGCGCATAGACTATAAAGTGATAAATAAATATGTTTTTTTACGTCTATTGTGTCGACTAGTGTGAACACACTTTCCTACCCAAAATCACCGCTAAGCAATGTAGTCTGGCTTCATTTCGTAAATAGCTGGTGTCATAGATAAAACACATAAATTAGTCATAGATACGCAACTCGAGCACTCAACAAAAATGTTTACGGGCGCCGGACACTAGACGGCTTCGCTTCGATTAGTTTCTCATTGCTCCTGTAGATGACAGTAACATATTACCTATCCTATATTTTAATATTAGTGAAGCTTTTCGTAAATTTTCAGAAACCTCAAATTGATAAAATTTTAATTTGCTTATTATAAATTATACAATAATTAAATGCCTTAACTTTAAAAACTTATAAGTTTAGGGGCATTCGCTACAAGATGTCGCTAGTTTCCATTTTAAAAAAAATTGTCTTAAAGCATCGCATATTCAGGGCCCTAGCTGGTGTGGCTAACTGTATATGGTAAAACTAATCTCCCCCCCGATCACCCTCTTCGGCCAACCTATACCCTGGGTCAGGAAGGTTAAGTACCTGGGAGTCATCCTGGATGCATCCATGACATTCCGCCCACACATAAAAACAGTCCGCGACCGTGCCGCATTCATTCTCGGCAGACTCTATCCCATGATCTGTAAGCGGAGTAAAATGTCCCTTCGGAACAAGGTGACACTTTACAAAACTTGCATAAGGCCCATCATGACTTACGCGAGTGTGGTGTTCGCTCACGCGGCCCGCACACACATAGACACCCTCCAATCCCTACAATCTCGCTTTTGCAGGTTAGCCGTCGGGGCTCCGTGGTTCGTGAGGAACGTTGACCTACACGACGACCTGGGCCTTGAATCAATCCAGAAATACATGAAGTCAGCGTCGGAACGGTACTTCGATAAGGCTATGCGTCATGATAATCGCCTTATCGTTGCCGCCGCTGACTACTCCCCGAATCCTGATCATGCAGGAGCCAGTCACCGTCGACGCCCTAGACACGTCCTTACGGATCCATCAGATCCAATAACCTTTGCATTAGATGCCTTCAGCTCTAATACTAGGGGCAGGCTTAGGGACCCCAGTAACCGTACTCGTCGAACTCGACAAAGAGGTCGACGTGCAACCTAGCCCATGCATCAGNAAAATAAAAAAAAAAAAAAAAAAACAAAAAAAAACCCCCCAAAAATGTCCTCTGGGGGAAACGACAAAAAAAAAAAAAAAAAAAAAAAAAAAAAAAAAAAAAAAAAAAAAAAACTAATCTACGCAAAAACATCTCTGGCCCATGTAGGGCCCGTGTGCAATCATTAGCACCCTGGCAAAACAAATTAGGTACAAATGTAACAGGTTCATTGAACGTAAGCCACCAAGCCCCGCTGTGCCGTAGGGCATTTGTTCCCTACCTATTCACTGGTAGTCTAATGGGCTATTCAGCTACGCGCGGATAGGTATATGAGCTGACGGGCTCAACCTGAGAGAATCTGCTAACACTAGCCCTAGCAAGAGCAGCGCTTCGCAGAATCTACCACCGGATCGGTATTGCAACCCACTGAGAGGATCCGACGAGAAACTCAGTGGGATGCCATATGTACCTCTGAAACTATGGTAGCTCGAATTATTTCGTATTTTGACACAATTTTTTTTATTGTTTACATGGGTGGACGAGCTCACAGCCCATCTGGTGTTAAGTGATTACTGGAGCCCATAGACATCTACAACGTAAATGCGCCACCCACCTTGAGATATAAGTTCTAAGGTCTCAAGTATAGTTGACTCAACGGCTGCCCCACCCTTCAAACCGAAACGCATTACTGCTTCACGGCAAAAATAGGCGGGGTGGTGGTACCTACCCGCGCGGACTCACAAGTGGTCCTACCACCAGTAATTACGCAAATTATAATTTTGCGGGTTTGATTTTTATTACACGATGTTATTCCTTTATCGTGGAAGTCAATCGTGAACATTTGTTGAGTACGTATTTCATTAGAAAAATTGGCACCCGCCTGCGGGATTCGAACCACCGGTGCATCGCTCAACACAATTGCCCCGGACGTCTTATCCTTTAGGCCACGACTACGATTCACATAAGTCGATGAGCACGAAGATTAAACAAGATTTTGATAGTCGAACCGATAAAACAGTTATCATAGGAATCATTACGAAACAGCTGTAAATACTTGTAATTTCCATATAAACATTATCGCAAATCATTGATAGATCACGAACCATCGATTGTGATTTAGATGGAAAAGTATAAAAATTATGTTGCACTAAATCAAACACTACAAGCAATCCGGATCTAACATTTGTCTATTAATTATAGTTTTATTTAATTTAACGAAAAAAAAAATGTCTAAGTTTGTTTTGCTGTTGATTTCTATGACTATATTTGATAAGGTAAGCAGTTAATTATTGTTAGGGAAACTCTGATCATTCTTAATGTCCAGTAAAAATGGCTACCAGATAAATAGGCATTAGTTACATTTTAATAGACTAAAAAATAGTTTTATCCCAGTCAAGACCTGGTGCGTCTTGTGCGCACGTGTAGTTATTACCGCCCTGCCTATTTCTACAATGAAGCAGTAATGGGTTTCGGTTTGAAGGGTGGGAAATCCGTCGTACTTACTATACTGAGACTGACAATTCATATTTCAAGGTGGATGACGTAATTTACCTTGTTGTTGTCTATGGGCTACAGTAACCACTTAACAGTTTCGGCTCGTCCACCTATGTAAGCAATAAAAAAGAAAATTTCTTTCCACCGCTAATTTTTTAATAGATCCTATAGTTCTTCCTCGAAAAACCCGTCTCTCTGCCGCGTTTATAATCGCAATTAAAATGAAATTAGTTCCATAATTTATGTCTGAGATCGATCAATATATGATTCTATATGTTCTACAGACAGCAAAATCGCAATATCTCCGGCAGCAACCCTACAGCATAACTCCAAGACAAATGCCGGAATACATCGAAGGGCCCAGAGTTTACGACGGACCAAGGATCTTCGAGGGCCCTAGATTCTACGATAGTCCCAGGCTCATCGAGAGTCCGAGGCTCATTGAGGGCCCTAGGCTCNAGATCGATCAATATATGATTCTATATGTTCTACAGACAGCAAAATCGCAATATCTCCGGCAGCAACCCTACAGCATAACTCCAAGACAAATGCCGGAATACATCGAAGGGCCCAGAGTTTACGACGGACCAAGGATCTTCGAGGGCCCTAGATTCTACGATAGTCCCAGGCTCATCGAGAGTCCGAGGCTCATTGAGGGCCCTAGGCTCATCGAGAGCCCTAGAGTGATAGAATCCCCTAGGATATACGAAGCGTCAAGGATCATCAACCAGCCTGTGATAACCGAGACACCATGCAACAGTGTCGCTCCAAGGGTTCCATCGACCACGATAATTACGGACTGCACTCCGACCGTCTGCAAGAACTTGGCCAACACAATCCAGTTAATGATCATCTGTAATTTACTACAGAACACAAAGGGTGGTCCCGAATTGGCTTTGCAGTTGGCATCTCCGGTACTAAACGAAGTTTTTACTTCGCCGGCCTTTTCATGCGGCTGTCCTAATCCGTTCTCGCCTAACGTCGTTTCTCCTAAAGCGGTTTCCCCTAGCATGGTCCCTAACTTTATAACGGCAGCTTTTAACAGCCCCGTAAGTAATGCACAGCCGACATGCAGCTTGTTATCGAATCTCATGAGCTTATTTGGTAACTCTATATAAACCCAATTCAATTATGGTCATCCAATCTATTTATTTATTTATTTAATAAATTATTCAATAAATTATTTCTTTGACATTATGGTATTATTTATTTGTGTTCGTGATAAATTTGCTAATTGCGATAAGTAATATTATACTATAATATTATGTTAAGTGCGTGAAATTATCTTTGAGGGCGCTGGGTAGTAAGCCACTTCCGAGCATGAATAACGCTAAAATAGAATAAGGGCAAATTGATAATAATTAATCAACGAAATAAATGAATCAAAATTATAATTTTTCAGTTTATAATCTTAATAAAATGGTCCGTTGCAAAACTGCGAGCATGGTTCATACGGGGCGGGTTCGACGTTTACGCTGACACACGGCACATTAGCGTTCATATAGCCAAAGTTACACGTTAATTGGGCAGGTATTGCGGAAGGAAACATGACCTCGGTGGCGATAGGAGCGATGGGAGGTCCAAGGAAATCGGAGCAAGGAAAGCCAGTGGATGGAATGGAGCAAAAAGATGGAGAGGATGGCTGAATTTGCACGACCTCCTGGGCGAAGTTAGGGCAGGGACTGGCGTCGTAGTATATCGGGGTCACTGTTTCTATCACAGGACTTTCGCATACACAAGGGTTAACAGTGACCATCTCGACTTGGGTTGGATATTCTATTGGATTGCAAGGAGCAGGTTTGATAATTGAGTCAAAGTAAGGCAAAAAAGTTCCTGGACAAATTCCAGTGTTCATTGTGTTTTCAATAAGATTGCTGACAATTAGAAGCTGGATGGCATTGGCTAAAGCATTCGAGACGGTGTTGTCGATGATGGTGGTGGCCACAGGAGGGGATCCGGGGTACAATGGCTGAGATATGACGGACTCAACCGGCCTTATAATTTCCTGGCACGGAGGTACGAGCTGGGGAAATATTTGGCCCGGGTAAGGGCATAAGTTCGGTGGCGAGAAAAACTGNAGATTGCTGACAATTAGAAGCTGGATGGCATTGGCTAAAGCATTCGAGACGGTGTTGTCGATGATGGTGGTGGCCACAGGAGGGGATCCGGGGTACAATGGCTGAGATATGACGGACTCAACCGGCCTTATAATTTCCTGGCACGGAGGTACGAGCTGGGGAAATATTTGGCCCGGGTAAGGGCATAAGTTCGGTGGCGAGAAAAACTGGCCGGGCCCTGGACATACTTGGGAGTCCGCCTGAAATTAAAACGGAAGAATTAAAGATAATTCATTGTTTCATTTAAGAAACTTAATCAACAAAGAAATTTGTATTCATCTATTATACACATACGTACATAGTCAATTTAAAAGAACGTATTTGGAATATGCTTATAAATAAGGAAATGAGCGTTTTGATTTCATATAAGGCATACCGTATACCGTATAAAACGTTTTCTTTTTTTATTGCTTCGATGGGTGGACGAGCTCACAGCCCACCTGGTGTTAAGTGGTTACTGGGGCCCATAGACATCCACAACGTAAATGCGCCACCCACCTTGAGATACAAGTTCTAAGGTCTCAAGTATAGTTACAACGGCTGCCCCGCCCTTCAAACCGAAACGCATTATTGCTTCATGGCAGAAATAGGCAGGGTGGTGGTACCTACCCGCGCGGACCCACAAGAGGTCCTACCACCAGTACATCACACATATATCCATTTATGATCCTACGAAAACTGGTTTTGCGAGAAAGGGATGGAGTACCATCTCTTTACTCCCACCAAAATTTTACGCTTTTGCACTGGTGGCTTCAATCAGCCGATTTAAACTATTTCTTCAATACACGTATAACATTTCATTGTGCTCATCAAAAATCTTGTAATAAGCACCTCATTCAACCTCAAAACACAGTCGTTCTATAGACATAGAGGTCACTGTTGGAGACACAGAAAAAAAACATTGGCTTCGTATCGATAACGGTTATGGGTCATCGCTCATGGATATCGACAAGATAGGAACACAATCTTCCAAATCTTGCTTGAAAAATGACGGGACTCTTGGAAGAAAACGTGGGGGTCTCACAAACGGATTGCAAAAGACTAATCTTAGGAAACGTGCTATTGACCAACACTGTCCCAGATAGTAGAAATATACTAGAAGAATACAAAGGCTTAACCAATTGTTTATTTAAATGTAATCAGTCATTTGTCTATTTGTCTATAAAATTCTAAAGCAGAACAGCAGTATCAGATGATGGAAAGGAGGATGCATGAGGAGAAATCGCATCAGGCAAAACAAGTGTTTTTATTTTTATTTTTAGATAAGTATATTTTTTGGATTTTCCATCTAATGTTCAGTGTTCCAATAAGATAGGTTGCCCCAATATTCACAACGTAGTAAAGCAAATATTTAACCGAAAGAGAGAAACAGTAGCAATAACTTTCCGAGGTTATCGACAGAAATCAAATGGTTTTTTTTTATATTACACTAGACGAACCTCGCGTTTGACCCGATGCTAAGGGAATATCCATGTGGGAATACCCATGAATACCAATATCCATTGATAGATATCCCGACGCCATTGCTCCAACCACCTTGACACATCAGATAAAGGCCTCAATTTTTCAAAAATTGTCGCACTCTCCAAACGGGTGCATACGTCTGCTTCGCAACAGAAATAGGCATAATGGGGCACCTACTCATTTAACCTCACAATAAGTGCTACCGCCAATCATAGCACCTTATAATTTCGATGTTATCATGACATGATATTATGTCCTCATCATAGAAGTTGTTTGAGAACATGCATTTAGTAATTTGATTAGGTTCGGCTCGATTACACCAAGTCTCTTAACTTTAAAGTCACGAGCCTTCGAACTAATACAAGATTTTTTTGTACAAGTCCACTCATCATCACCATCATCAGTTATGGGCCTCTCCTCATCCAACTCTTACCGGTCACCGTTCGGAGGTCATCCCTACACTCGAGAACCCGTCTACTCTAGCGATTGTTGGTTCTGTGGCATACATGGCCAGCCCACTGCCACTTCACTCCACTTGCTGACTCTTAGAGATATGTCGATGACTTCAGTTCTATGTCGGATATCCTCATTCCTGATTTTATGCTTCAGGGAAACCCCGATCGAATCACCACCATCCGAAACAGGATTCAGGGGAACACGGAACTTCCCATGGCCCGCTGAGCGACCTTAAGCTGACGGACCAGCCGCACTATGAGTGTCCACGTCTCGGCTCCGTAAGTCATAACCGGTGAGACGTACTGGTTAAAACTTTCGTTTTCAAGTACTGTGGGATGTGCGATGAAAAGATTCCACGTAGTTTGCCGAACGCCGCCCAGCCCAGTTAGATAGATCCCTCTATTAACTTTCCTCTCCAAGCCGTATTTACCCATCTGCAGCACCTGCCCGAGCAATAAATATTCTTCAACAGCTTCAAGCGGGCAGTCCGTCAAGATCATCGGACTCGGACTAATGTAACCATTGAACATAACTTTAATAATATCCACGTTCATCCAGAGTCCAATTCGCAATAAAGAATCTGTTAAGCCGTTCAGCATTAAACCGCAAGTGCTTATGCCGATTTTTTTCCAGTCCAGCGTCTTACACATATCCACCAATGCGCTAGGAAATATTTTCGGGGAAATAACAATTAGATAGGATTAGACTGCTGATTCTGTACTCAAACATTCATCGTGGCACAGTAGAGGCATTTCAAAACCTACACATAGCGATGGTCTACTTGGCATTGCCGCAGAAAATCCAGCACAGCCCAGGTCTCGTGGAGTCTAAAGCCTTCTCATGCGAATGGTAAGCTCAGGGGTCGATTATGCTCTGTGAACTTTTGTATAATCTGCCGCACTGTGTGTATGTGGTATATGGCGCCGTAACCGCTCCGAAACCCAGCCTGCTCTGGGGGTTGAAATTCGTCGAGCCTTCTTGGTAGACGGTTTGTGATGACTCGTGAGAACAACTTTTAGATGTGATTCAGGAGAGAGATCGATCTGTAGTTCTTCAAAAGAGTCTTGTCCCCTTATTTGAAAAAGAGGACAACAATACTGTTATTCCGCGCCTTCGGAATTCTCCCGCGGTGAATGACTTGATTGAAGACCTTATATTATAACTCTACTAAGAGATGTGTTTCTCTTGCCTTCAATAGCTTAGTTATACCATTATCCCCGGGGGCTTTTCCTTTCTGGAGTTGTCTCAGAGCCAATTTTGTTTCGTCCGTGCTGACGCTTGGCAGCTCATCGGTGAAATGGCGCGTGAGTGTGGCTCTACTTTTTTTTTTACCTGTGCTGATAGCCTTGACAGGCTATTTCAGTTTCACCCTAACGTGTGTAGGTGAGCTCACGGGGCTCAAACCGGAGTATTGCTAACACTGACCCTAGCAAGAGCAGTGCTTCACAGAGTCTACCACCGGATCGGAAACGCGACCCACTGAGAAGATCCGTCGAGGAACTCAGTGGGCTGTGTCTAGATGTGACTATCCTGTACAGGACGGGTGGTGTGGGACTCGTACAGCTAACGATATTATTTTTCAATCTCAGCGAGAATTCTCGTCTGCGACACAATGACGTTGCCATCAAAAGTCTTGAGTTTCGATAAACGGCCTCTCTTAAGCTGCTGGTTAAATACCTTCAACCCATCGGTTTTGTTCAATGGCTCTTTCCATTTTTCGAATCGCGGAGCGTCGAAGGTCACATCGAACCCATTACGTAATCTGCTTGCTGAGAGCCGATCGTTTTAATGAAGAAGAGGATGTGTCCTGAAGCCGTATGGTCATGAGTCGCAAAGTCAAGTCGTCACAAAGTTTTTACCCATTCGCTTCCCCCTGAAAATGTTTGCACCCTCTTCCCTCACGACTGTGACAAAATTGTTGAGGTCTTCGTCGACATCGTTAGTTGTTTCCAAGTTAACGAATTGTTCTTCCAAAGTTTTATGGAAAACTTCTGATCCAACACCGATTTCGAACTGGCTAGGTCGGAGTGTAGACTGCAGCGTCTTTCCAATCAGACCTTATGCTCAGCGTAGCTCTTGACATTCGGTGGAGGTTTCCGATACTAAGCCTGTTGACCACTAACACGTCCATAAATATTCGAATAAAAACTGCAATCGCCAATCGATTTTCAAAATTCGGCACTAATTAAACTATCTAATTCTAATATCATTGAAATTAATTTTCTATATCTCGTAAATATTTGAATTGAGATTATGTACACAGGTGAAGCACGTTACTATATCAAATATTGCAATTTCTCGAGAATGTACACGTAAAAGAGGCACAAAGATATTTCATTATGTATCTGTATCATAAAAAAACGTATTTTTATTACGCCTGATTTCTTTTAAAACCGTAAAGGTTAATTATAAATCCAAACAAACTATTTGATTCCCGTATAACGCTCAGAAACTTATTTTATCAACATATCCTATACCTTTAAATGAGCAATTCTTGTATATAAATATATATATAATCTGAATCTCGGAAACGGCTTCAACGATTTTCATAAAATTTAGTATACAGGGGATTTTGGGAACGATAAATCGATATAGCTACGATTTATTTTCAGAAAATGTTGTTTTATTCGTGTTTTCAATAATCAACTCTTCCCGACATCTATTGGCGAATAATAGTACTATTTTTCTTAATTGAGGGCAACTAACCGCTTTAAAGACATCACAAGATGGCGTTATAAAAAAAAACGAGCAAAGCGCGGTCATCGTCTAGTTTATCTATAAACACACATTCCGCCCTACCAACAGAAATCTATTAGCGGGTTCGATTTAAATTCCTTGAACACGGAAACTATTCATATATTGCGCACACTTCAAATTTCAGATACACACTCTAACGACCCATACAAAGCCCAGTATATCTTCAACTCTTCCCGACATCTGTTGGCGAATAATAGTACTATTTTTCTTAATTGAGGGCAACTAACCGCTTTAAAGACAACACAAGATGGCGTTATAAAAAAAATCATCATCGGTCATCGTCTAGTTATTTATAATCTTTTACTCCACCTTATCCCACTAGGTGGGGTCGGCACAGCTAATTTTTCTCTTCCATTCTCTTCTATCAGCCGTCATCTCAACACTCACTCCTCTCTCTCTCATATCGTCATTCACACACTCCATCCATGTCTTCTTCGGTCGACCTCTTCGCCCTCTACCTTGCACTACCATTTCCATACATCTCCTAGTCTAGTTATTTATAATGAATTAACAAAATGTATAGTTACCTTGTAAATCAAACTTATAAACAATATTAACAAAGGGAACACCATTATTCTGGTCCTTCTAAACGATACGAACAACCCAATGCCTTATATACACGAAAACAACTTATCACGGTGACATAATTTGTCAATTGCATAAAACGTTAAACAAACACAATTATATTATGAATTTAGTAAAAATGTTATCGGATATTATTTTGTAACGTTTTTTTTTTGTAATTGAAAATTTTGTAAGTCAATGTAATCCTATTCTTAAAGAATTCGACACGATTTGAACTAGCTACTATTTAGAATAGGAATATATTATAATTTTGCAATAATCATGTCTTTAAGCTGTTTGCTCGCGATATGTGACCCAGTTATTTGTATACACTTTAAGGAAATATAAATAGGGTTGTATAATGACTGCCCCGCTGCTCTCCAGAGATATAAGGTAAAGAAATTAAGAGTGCTTATATTTGTACATTTAGGCACCACAAGCACCGGTCACCGTCCTCGTCGAACCCGTCGCTTGCGACGAAGGGCTCGACGAGCGAACTAACCCATAGACACAGCCCACTGAGTTTCACGCCGGATCTTCTCAGTGGGTCGCGTTTCCGATCCGGTGATAGGTTCTGCGAAGCACTGCTCTGAGGCTGAGATGATGATGATGATGATAAATATGTGAAGGCGTAATGGATATATTCTATATTTCCATCGCTATTAATGGGTAAAGTAGTTTGTAAATTGGTGAATTTTTTTCTCTCGGATAGTGTTATCATAAATTAGATAGATTTTTACTACAGTTTAACTATAGGGCGAGTTAAACTTTTTTTTTATAAATTTATCTTTGACTATTTTGGATAGAATGAAATGAATATACGCTTGATTGACAACCTCGTGGAAAATTGTGTATTTTAAATGAAGAAACCTTTTTATAGATAAAGTAATTTTGTAAAATTAAATAAATATTTCAAAAGAATCAAAAACAACAATTCATTATCTACATGTATACAATTAATGTGTAGTCAATGTGACCTATCTACATATACTTAGTCTGGCCATAAATACTGTTACAATTAAAAATAAACAAGATATTACATTTGAATTTGGAATCTGTCATTTTTATATGATTGCTCATTGGGTTTTCTCATTTTGGCGCCAATACATTGTACAATATTTTGCGATATTAAAATGGAGTGGGGTGATAAAGAAAACCGAATCGCTGTGATTGCATTACACAAAGTAGGATGGAACCAAATGCAATTTTTAACGCTCCATACGTTTGGTATTAGTAAAATGTTTGTGTACCGGGCTATTAATAGGTGCAATGAGACCTCCTCTGTTTGTGACAAAAAAAGATCTGGCCGTCCACGTAGTGTTCGTACAAAAAAGGTGCTCAAAGCAGTAAGGGAAAGAATTCGAAGAAATCCTGTCCGAAAGCAAAAGATTTTATCTCGGGAGATGAAGATAGCACCTAGAACCATGTCGCGTATTCTAAAAGATGACTTAGGACTTGCAGCCTATAAGAGACGTACTGGTCATTTCTTAACTGATAATTTAAAAGAGAATAGGGTGGTAAAATCGAAACAACTACTGAAGCGGTACGCATAGGGAGGTCATAGAAAAAATTTGTTTACGGATGAGAAAATTTTTACAATTGAGCAACATTTTAACAAACAAAATGACCGTTTTTATGCTCAAAGGTCTAAGGAAGCTTCCCAATTAGTCGACAGAGTGCAACGTGGGCACTATCCGACTTCAGTGATGGTTTGGTGGGGTATTAGCTATGTAGGCAGCGGCTTGGCTCTGCCCCTGGCATTGCTGAAGTCCATGGGCGACGGTAACCACTCACCATCAGGTGGGCCGTATGCTCGTCTGCCTACAAGGGCAATAAAAAAAAGAAGGAGTGACTGAGCCATACTCTTGTGAAAAAGGTATCAAAACATCGGCACAAGTGTATCAAGATACCATTCTTGAGAAGGTAGTTGAAGCCCCTTAACCGCTTTGGAATGGTCCTTCCAGCAAGACTCGGCGCCAGGTCATGAAGCTCGGTCTACGCAGTCTTGGTTGGAAACGAACGTTTCGGACTTCATCAGAGCTGAAGACTGGCCGTCGTCTAGTCCCGATCTTAATCCGCTGGATTATGATTTATGGTCAGTTTTAGAGAGTACGGCTTGCTCTAAACGCCATGATAATTTGGAGTCCCTAAAACAATCTATACGATTGGCAGTGAAAAACTTTCCCATGGAAAGAGTGCGTTCTTCTATTGATAACTGGCCTCAACGTTTAAAGGACTGTATTGCAGCCAATGGAGACCACTTCGAATAAGCTTTTTATACTTTAAATTGTTTTATATTTATGTATTAAACTAACACACTATAAAAGTAATAAATATTATTTGCAATAGAATTTTTTTTTCCTTTGTCTCAGTATTTATGGCATGACTAGGTACAATTAATGTGTAGTCAATATGACCAAACTGCGTCCCTATGACATTTTGCCATCATCATTCCCAAACTCTTCAAGGTTGCCGCTGCCGATATAGTCAAAGTACTAGGATACGTTGAAAACAAATAAGTTGTAGACAACCTTGACGTAGTCTAGAGTTGTTTTAATATTTTCAGTATTTTCCACATTATTCTCTAGTACCACATCTGAAATACGTCAGTGGTCAGTGAATCGACTATGAGCCGCTGTTTTACTGTTCTGAAACTGATACTGAAGTTATAGAGAAAATCAGAGATCTAAGAAACGACCTAGTCTGATTTTAGTATTCAACTTAATCGGACTTATTTATTGCTCTAGTAGACACACGAGCATACGGCCCACATGATGGTGAGTTACCGTCGCCCATGGACGTGAGCATTCCCAAGGGCAGAGCCAACCTGCTGCCTACCGTAAATCCTTCCTAAGATCCTTCATAATTCATCAAAAAGGATAGTGCTTTTGGGCGTACCATTCAATCGCAATTCGGCTTTACTGGAAACATGATTGGACTATACCTATACAAAACCGTGAAAAGCCCGTAGCAAACTTCTAGAGACAACAAGTGGCGATGGGCGGTCTATCACCATAGCTTTATATTTTTCTATAGAGTTCTGGGTTGTCACTGTCTCCCCTCAAACGAACATGCTCTCATCTGGCGATATTTAATTAAATACTAGAAGGCGGTACTCGTTGCTCTTGCGAATACATCTATACTTCTATACTAATATATAAATCTACAGTGGTTTTTACGGATGTTCCGTTATAACTACTGAACCGTGCATCCGATTGACTTAAAACTTGGTATCCATGTACAATATACGTGTACTAAATGGATAGGCTAATATTTATATGAGTGTTGGACACCCTAGACCAGTTGTGGGGGCGTTAACGATGAGAATTTTGTAGGGGTTAGAAATAATAATGTTAATTTTAAATGCCCAGCAAAGCGGACGGGTACAGCTAATAATTGATATGTTGAGTAACCTTGGATTCGAAGAAAAAACATCGTGTAATAAAATAAAACACACAGAATGTGTAAATTGTGTAATCCCTAGTGGTAGAGCGTATCAAAAACCACGGTAATCCGCCGTTTTTGCTTCTTTTCGGGCAGAGGGTCGAATCTCATAAGAAACGTTCGCGCCTAGGGGGCACACAGGGTACATATGTGGGACTTGACGATTTGCAGATGTTGGGAGCAAACCACAGCCCCAAGGATGCTTTAGGACCCTACTCACTAAATGACTCCACTTGCACCCTTTCACTCAACATCTAATCTCCGCTTAGGGTCAGAGTCAGGGGTACACGCGGTCAGCAGTACAACCCAACTCGCGGCGCCACTTTTAGGATTTTACCGACGACGAATGACGGTAATCCCTCTATCTTGACCGGTATTGGTCTCGGGAGTATACCTGGCTTCAAGGAGGCCTTTAATGAGTGGACCTCTAACAACTTCGACGACCTAGTTCCAACTATACCAGACGTTCCGTTAGACGCGGGAGCCTCGCAAGAGGTTAGGCACTGACCCAAAAAAAAGAGCGCTTTATAAGCCCCCTATAGCTACCACAATCCTGCTTATTTCTGTAACTTTGCGTTCTACTTTAAAATATGAGACAGCAATTATAGAATAAAATTCTTCAACCTCATGTGTCAAGGTCGGTTCATCCTCTCTTTTATAGAAAAAAAATTGACCACGAATTTATTTTATTTTATTTTATTTATTCGGTACCAACTTGTTATACATCAGCACAGAACATTACAAGTATCATATACATTGATTTCACACTAAATGCTAACACAATTACAGTTACCGACTGCATTCATTGAAAAAAATGCTGTTCATTATATAAAAAAAAAAAACAAAAAAAAAACTATATTATATAACATTACATGAAGACATTACATTATTACACATTTACTACAAAATACGCTATTACCTAATTGAAAAAACTCATTGAGCAAGGTTTAGAAACTTTAGAAATAATTGACCTAAAAATTCCTTTCCCAATAAAATGTATGCCGAAATATATGTATGCATATATACTAGTATAGATTGGTAATGTGCGTAATATAAATACAAATAAATGTGCCTCCACCTTTACCGAGCAAAATTAAATCAGACCGTTGCATACTGAAAAACGGATGTGGTACTTACTATCTAGTCTCGTATAACTTTTTTTTTTATTGCTTAGATGGATGGACGAGCTCACAGCCCACCTGATGTTAAGTGGTTACTGGAGCCCATAGACATCTACAACTAAGTTCTAAGGTCTCAGTATATTTACGACGGCTACCCCACCCTTCGAACCGAAACGCATTACTGCTTCACGGCGGAAATAGGCGGGGTGGTGGTACCTACCCGTGCGGACTCCCAAGAGGTCCTACCACCAGTGATCACGCAAATTATAATTTTACGGGTTTGATTTTTATTACACGATGTTATTCCTTCACCGTGGAAGTCAATCGTGAACATTTGTTGAGTACGTATTTCATTAGAAAAATTGGTACCCGCCTGCGGGATTCGAACACGGGTGCATCGCTTCATACGAATGCACCGGACGTCTTATCCTTTAGGCCACGAC